CTGCAAACATCACGTAGCATTTGTTTATACCATAACCTAACAAAATTGAAAGGTTTCTTATCGTGTTTTTTATCAAGATTTTAGAGAATTTAGAGATTATTTATATATTTTTAGAATGACTGGACTTGAAAAATCATCGAATTATTACTATTTGCGTTTATTTATTGTATTTTGAGTAAATCAACTTTCTTAAAAACGTATTTTCAAATAAACATTTGGACATTTTAGCTATTTTTTCTGAAAAATTTGCACTAAAAATATATTTGCATCTGTGTCGAGTTTTATCAGTAATTTTAGAAGCAAAAATAAATACTATAGAAGAATTGATTAATAAAAAATATATTTTAGAGAAATTGAATCTATTGTTAAATATTCCTATATTAAAGAAAAAACATTTTAAATTCAAGCAGTTCATTCTTTTCAACAGGCTCTTTGTGTTTTTCTGTAACCAACATATTTTTTAAAGCCGCTGTTTAGCAGAAACCAAATTGAGAAATTTTAAATGAACGCATGGCAACGTCGCTTTCCTGCTAAGTCATACGGTTTGGTTCATGGCTAGACGAGATTCCTCGTATTGATTTATCAATCACGTGTAGGTTATATTTTTCGAATAATTTCACGGACTTGATCTTGTGTGACTACAACACAATTATGTTAGATACTCGTATTATCTAGATTAAAAAAAAAATAATCTAATAAAAATATGAAATTGCGTGATATCAAAATATAATGCAATGAAAAATTTAAATTTATGTAATGTGTGCGGCGCACATGCGCAGAATGGTTATAGGAGAATTGGGCGAGAAAAAGTTTTGATAATTTAATTCTTTTTTTTATGTATACTTTTTTTTAACATATTTCTAAATGGGTATATACGACCTTAATACTGATAAAATAAATAAAAAAAAATTTAAAAATACTTAAAAATGGGACTGACTAAATTAAAATATATGAAAGCAAAAGGTATTTTTCTTTATAAAACTTTTATGATTTTTAAAAAAAAATATGATCACTATAACATGTTTGTTACACAATGATATGATGTACCTATTTTTATTTGTTTAATATAGGTATAGCAGTTCCATTCAAAAACTTGTGAATTTCAGATAAAGCTAATAAATAGGTTTCAGGAACATTTTATAATTTTAGATACCTGCTTAGATCAATTGATTTCCCTAAGTGTAATTTTATTAGGTAGGTATAGTTAACCCAATTTTTTATTGAGAATTAAATGTTTTGTGAGACATTGGTTTAAGCACATCCAGTATAACACACATTATTTCAGAATTGTTTCAGAAATATTTCAGACGTTTCAAACATATAACATTTCAAGAACAAGTTTCTGAAATATTTCTGAAATATTTCTGAAATATTTTAATTAAATATTTCATTTACATGGTATAAATGTTACACAAAAGGTTACCAAACGGTTTTTGTCATTTCCTTTTTTGTAATTTATGCGTTGTGTTGTTGTGATATGGGAAGCAAAACATGTCTTTAGAAATTGAGGCAAGTTTACTATAGAAAAAAATGCTTGTAAGTTATAGGTTAGGTTTATTTACTTTATTTTATTCTCTGAACGACGAGTGACGCCATTTCAAATTTACAGGCAGTTTATTTTTATTTAAATATAATCTAAATTTGTTGTACCTCCACCCAATTTTATTTATTATCCATACAACACAAACACATTTCGAAAATATTTCAAAAATGTTACACTGAAACATTTTTAATGTGTCATAAACATTTCCTGTAAATATAATATTTCACAGTAATATTTCTGAAATAAAAATTTGAAATATTCTAGAAATATTAAATAGTAATATTTCTGAAATGTTTTCTTGTTTTTTTGTTTCAAAAATATTACTGTGAAACATTATGTTTACAGAACATTTTAACGTTTTAGACACATTTCAGATATTTCAATGTAGGTAACATTTTTTTAATATTTCAGAAATGTTTTTGTGTTGTATGGGATATTACGATTCTAAGAGTTTCTTAACGGGAAACTTATTTCGCAGTTTTGATGGAAAAAAAAATATTTTTTTAAACACAGATAATGAATATTCTTAGTATATTTTTGTCAGATGTTTGTACTATAATAAACCTTACCTTCTTTTATGACTAATTCATTAGTTAAATTACAATAATTTTTTTTTAATAATAGTATATACAAAATCTTAATTTTTCCACTTACATTTTGTTATAAATTTTTAGAATGAAATGCTGCTAAAGATAGACAACCATAAATACGTAGACAAGTATTTTAAGTCACCTACACTATGTTGTACCATCTAACAACGAAATACGCATTTTGTCGGCTGTAAATTATAAAATATTATACCAAATGATTTAAAAAAAGATATTTATATACACTTATTTAATTTTGTAAGAAATCAAAATTATCACAATAAAAATAAAAATATCAAGAAGACAGTTTATTCTCTACCGTCATTTTTAAATTATGACCGTTTCTAAAATGTAGCATTTTCTTTAAACCGTCACATTTCACAAACAAATTAAGATATCAAGTTAAATAAAAAACAAAGTGTTGGAAACAAATCAGTCTTCTTGACAAAGTTAGTTGTGTGCAGATCTACTAGCAGAATTAACCTACAGGGCGTGTCAAAAGTAGAGGAAAAAATTGTTTTCTCTACTCCCCTGTATATGCGGCGAGTACTAAATTACTTTTAGATGTCCGAATAATAATCTTAAAACTACAGTATTTTATCTAAAAGTTGCTAAAAACTTCTAATAAATCAGCCTCCGCATTTGAAAGTTAGAGCATTTTTAAATAAATCATTATTTTGAATGGATCGAATTTTAAGTCGGTGAGTGTATTTAACCTTTGAGACATACAAATTTTGAGTACTTCTATTTTTTATCAGTTTTTTCGTCCGTATCCTTCAGACTAGCAACAATTGTAATTAAGACACTTCATATAAATTTCAAGAGTTAATAATACAAAGCGGATTAGTTAAATATATAATATCTTCACAATATTCTTTAATTTTTGATATTAGTAATTGTTATTTTGTCGATGACAGTTCTAGCTTAGGTTTTTACCTTTCCAAAACTTCATACAGAGACAGCACAAAAACCTCTTAAAGACGACTCGCGTAAAACATTTAAAACGTCCTTAAGACGTCTGGTGTTTCCTGAAAGACGTCTAATGTTACAATGGCTTATAATGGTCTTTAGAGACATTTTTAAGATGTCTTTAAGATATCTGATTAATGGCTTATATTGGGTCTTTATAGCCTTATATAAGACGTCTTTAAGATATCTGATTAATGTCTTATAACGGTCTTTAGAGCCTTAAATAAGACGTCTTTAAGATATCCAATTAATGGCTTATAATGGTCTTTAGAGGGTCAAATAAGACGTCTTATTAAGGACATAATGGTCTTTAGAGCCTTAAATAAGACGTCTTTAAAACTTCTTATTAATGACTCAATTAAGGCTCTAAATACCATTATAAGACACCTTTAAGATGTATTATTAGAGCCCTAAATAAAACGTCTTATTAATGACATGTTTTTTAGAGCCTTAAATAAGACTTCTTATTAATGACTTATAATGGTCTTTAAAGCCTTAAATAAGACGTCTCTAAGGCGTCTTATTAAGGACTTATAATGGTCTTTAGAGCCTTAAATAAGACGTCTTTAAAACGTGGTAAATTTTTAATTGAATGTCACTTTTAGAAAACAATCTTTGTTGAATTTTTTTTTGTTCTTTTTCTCTATTTACTCTGGTATGTACAAGATTTAATATTTGGTTATTGTTATGTTTTAATGTTAAATGTCTGGACGTATGTTGGAATATAGTCAGTGGCGGCTCGTGGGGTGATTCACAGTAACAGAATATTTCGAATATTTCCTTACTGTTTGTTTAAAATAGTTAGTTTAAAATAGTTTAAAATAGTTTAAAATAGTTTAAAATAGTTTAAAATAGTTTAAAATAGTTTAAAATAGTTTAAAATAGTTTAAAATAGTTTAAAATAGTTTAAAATAGTTTAAAATAGTTTAAAATAGTTTAAAATAGTTTAAAATAGTTTAAAATAGTTTAAAATAGTTTAAAATAGTTTAAAATAGTTTAAAATAGTTTAAAATAGTTTAAAATAGTTTAAAATAGTTTAAAATAGTTTAAAATAGTTTAAAATAGTTTAAAATAGTTTAAAATAGTTTAAAATAGTTTAAAATAGTTTAAAATAGTTTAAAATAGTTTAAAATAGTTTAAAATAGTTTAAAATAGTTTAAAATAGTTTAAAATAGTTTAAAATAGTTTAAAATAGTTTAAAATAGTTTAAAATAGTTTAAAATAGTTTAAAATAGTTTAAAATAGTTTAAAATAGTTTAAAATAGTTTAAAATAGTTTAAAATAGTTTAAAATAGTTTAAAATAGTTTAAAATAGTTTAAAATAGTTTAAAATAGTTTAAAATAGTTTAAAATAGTTTAAAATAGTTTAAAATAGTTTAAAATAGTTTAAAATAGTTTAAAATAGTTTAAAATAGTTTAAAATAGTTTAAAATAGTTTAAAATAGTTTAAAATAGTTTAAAATAGTTTAAAATAGTTTAAAATAGTTTAAAATAGTTTAAAATAGTTTAAAATAGTTTAAAATAGTTTAAAATAGTTTAAAATAGTTTAAAATAGTTTAAAATAGTTTAAAATAGCTACCAACCGAAAGGTTATTCCTCATAAATATTATTGAACCATTTGTATACCTAAGTAATGTAATATGCTTTAAAAACTTAAAATAAAACTTAAAAATAAAAAAAAAACTTATAATTATACATTATCAGAAACGTAATTGAGGAAAACACATTTTTTTCCCTAAATTTCTATGTTAACATAAACTTCATTTTTCTGATTGATTCCTGACTTAGATATCTCCTGAATCACCTTGTATAAAATTGTTTATACTACAAATAAAATTGATAAAGGAATTATCAATAATCAAGAAGCCAAATTAAATTAGAGTTTTGCATTAGGTACACGTCTGGTATCCAGACGAGTTACAAAAAATAGCTCTTAAAAATTTATTTATTTAAAACCTATTTTATTTAATTTTTGAGTGTGAAAATATTCATAACGGTTATTTATTAACGGCAACGTCTAAGACAATAACGAATTAATATTTGTTAATTTCGAGCAATATTCGATGTTCAATGCCAACAAAATTCATTTATATTGATTGTCATCAAGATAAAATCAATTCAAGTTGAAAATTTTCAGTGGCAAAATTAAAGTTAAAAGCGTGTAAGTATAAAACAATTGTTTGTTGGTGTCATTTAAAAGCTGCTAATTTTTTATATCTACAGTAATAATGATCATTTATACAATATTTGGAAAACCACTGTCATATGTCTGTTTATAGCCTTTATTTTATAAAACTATACATTTTTGGTATTCATAAATTCTTCAAAAAGAAATATCTGATACATTTTTTCGTGTTGATCAAATAATAAATTTTATGATCGAAGTAATTCGTCTTTTATAGAAGCAATGTATGAGAAAGAGAGAATATGCGTTTATTGTCAAAGATAAATTATCAAATGAAAAACAAATGGACTAAAAGTTTAAAATTTAAATTCAAATAAAAACGAATAAAAGACTAAAAGTTAACTGATATAAAAAATAAAATGTTTACTGTGGTTGACTTGATAAAATCCGTAATAAGTAGTGATGCCGCGAGACAAGATGAGACGAGAGAGTGGTCTCTCTCGTCTCGTCTCGTAGGGCGAGAGAAAACTGTTTTCTCGCTCAAGAGAGCCTTTCTCTCGTCTTGTCTCGTCTCGTTTCTCTCGTGATAAAACAATATCAAATTTAAGTTTGAAAAAGGCGCAACATGAAAAACCATTTAAATTTGTAATACAAAAACAAATAATTTTTCAAGTAATTTGAGCATTAGTACCCAAATTTGGCAATAAGAAACAGTTATGTCTCTCTGACCCAGTCGTTTTAAAATTGAAATTTGTAATAAGTGGCCCAGATTAACCGTTAACTAAAAACAAAATTACTTTGTCTTGTAAGTCAGTTGGGGAGGAAGGGAAGAAGTTAAATTGGAAGTTAGAATTTTTCTAATGCAATCCTGCGATGTCAAATGAATTACACTAGCACTAACATCAACGTTCACTGCACTAGCTCAAATGGCTTCTTCCTTTTGAGCCTTCTGTTGAGTGTAGAGTTGTTTAGTAATTGCAGCGCTTCTTCGTTGACGTGGGAGTGGAGTCGACCCTCATGTTTCGCAGCAAACCTCTTTATTTCTTCTTCGATTGTTGGCATCTTCAGGTCTCTATGAAGATAATCGTTTCGGTAGAACCAAGGTGCGTCAGCAATGCATCTTAGGACTTTATTTTGGAAAACTTGTATCATGTTGATATTACTCTTGATGACACACCCCCATAGCTGTATGCCATAAATCCAGATTGGTTTTTAGGATTTGTTTATAAATCAGCAGTTTGTTGTGCATTGACAATTTGGATTTTCTTCCTAGGAGCCAATACATTTTTTTGAATTTAAGTTCAAGTTCTTTACTCTTTTTTTATGTGCTCTTTCCATTTAAGTCTTACATCTAGGTTCATCTCTTGGTATTTGGCCGAATCGTGATGAGGAATAACGTTATTGTTTATTCTTATTTGTTTTTGTTCATTTGGTCGAAGAGTAAAATTAACATGCACTGATTTGGTTTAATTTATTTTTATTTTCCACTTTTTGTCCATCGATTGATTCTGTTGTAGGTTTCCTGAAGTTTTTCTGAGGTCTCTGTAATAGTTCCGCCAACTGCCAATATTGCAGTGTCATCCGCAAATGTTGCTATTTTAACAGATTGTTGTTGAGGGATATCGCTAGTGTATAATAAGTAAAGAACTGGTCCTAGCACACTGCCTTGTGGGACACCTGCTTTAATTTCTTTCATTTCGGAGTATGCCTCGTCTTGCTTTACTCTAAACATTCTTCCCGTTAAATATGTTTGTAGAATGTCGACATATTGAGGAGCACCTCGAGCTATAATTGAAGAATCTTGAGCAGCGCCGGGTCTGTCCAAGCCTGGTCTTTGTATCATAGATATTTCCGATGTTTTAGGCTGCCTAGGTGGTACATTTCCACGAAATCCAGAAGATCTAGGCTGTGTAGTTTCTACTGCTGCTCTAGAACTAGCAGCCCTAGGTACAAAACTTCCATCCATTCCCACCATTTTACTATTAACTCCAAGTGCAGGTCTTGTAGGTATCTGGCCACCAGATCTACTAGTTGTAGTGACATTAATTCTAGAAGCGTGTGGTAGTGGAACGCTCTGACCTCTTTGTCCAGAAGGTGGTGGCCTCATAAATGATTGTTGTAGTATGGACTGAGCTGGAGGTCATAATCCTGATACACCTGGTCTTGCAGGCTGTGATTGTGATGGAGGCCGTAATATTGATGTTTCTGGCCTTGCTAGGTGAGTTGGAGGTCGATATATGGACATCTCTGGTCTTGCTGGCTGAGATGGCTGTCGTAATCCTGATGATCCTGGTCTTGTTTGTTGGTAAGGAGGTCGTAAGTCTGATCTAGGTCGTTGAATTTGAGAACGTAAACCAGAAGGATCGGGTCTAGCTTGTGCAGGAAGTTGATTTTGACAACATGGGGGGACTTCTTCAAGGTTTAATTGTCTTGTTCGTGAGCCAGGAATGCCTGAAGGAGTAGGAATGCCTCTTCTTTAAGCCATTATATTTGTCAAGGATACTATAATTAAGAAAATCAGATGTTCGTCTTCTAGTTTTAATTGGGTCTTTATACTAGGTCACGGATCATGACAGTTATGTCATTCATGCTCTGTATTAGGCCAGCGTGCCAAATCTTGTCAAATGCTTGGGTTACGTCAAGAAATATAGCTGAGCATATACATTTTTCTTCGTAAGCTTTGTCTATGATATCGGCTATCCTGTGTACTTGATCTATTGTCGAGTGTTTGTTTCTAAAACCAAATTGTTGCGAAGGGATCAGATTTTTATTTTCAATTATTGGTTTTAGTCGTTTTAGCAGTAGTTTTTCAAATAACTTAGATATTATCGGTAACAATGATATAGGTATATATGATGACACTTCATTCAGAGGTTTTCCTAGCTTAGGAAGTAGGATAACTTCAGCCATTTTCCACGCATCAGGTATATTTTTAAGGCGAAATGCTGCATTAATGAGGAATGTCAATTTAACAATAGCCTTCCGTGGTATTTTCTTTAATATTTCTCCAGTAATAAGGTCCTGAGGCTTTCTGTGAGTTGATGTTTGTCTGAATTTCTTTGATAACTTCATTGGGAGTAACTAGCTTAATTACAAGTTGTTCCATATTATGAATGGTCTCAATAGCCCATTTGTTATCTGCTATTCTGATTGGAGGACAGTGTTTACACGAATTTTTCATCTTTTTAGTTGCCTTCCAGAGTGAATAATCAGTTTCTTTATCATCTGTTGTCCCTACCAGGTATCTGTTGAAGGATTCTTTTTTGTGATTTAGAATTTCTCTTCTCAGTCTTTGGGTAGCATAATTTAATATATTTTTATCTTTTGGTGATCTTGTCATCTGCCATTTCTTTCTTAGTTTTCTTTTTTTGCTACTAGTTCTCTTATCTCGACAGGATAGTTTTTTCCAGATGTTAATCTTCTTAGTTTTGGTGTGTCCCTCCATGCAGCTTGCTGGATTTCAACTATAAACTTTTCCAGTTCTTCATCTAGCTGATTTTTTGTTTTTAGTGTTATGGTCCGTTGAATAGGATTTGTTAAGAGCGATATCCATGGTTAGAAACAGGCTTAAAACGACTTCAAGGTTCTCTTTCTCAGTTTTAAATATTTTTTTATAAAATTTGGTATACCTACTAAGCAAATGATAGAGAACTCCGCTGTAGAGCCCGAATTCAGAAAAACTAATTTTTTAATTATTTCTATACAAATTATGAAAATTATTGCAAAAAGGAGTCTTTACCGGGAATTGTTATATAAAATTCAGCTAATTCTTTCCAATACACTTTTTTGTCCAAAGCGTATATTTTTTGAAAACCTTGAATTAGGAAATCTGAGAAAATCTGTCAAGATTCCAATCCATATTAATTGATTTGGCAACAAGGCGGCGGACGTTGGCGGTGCAAGCAGTACCGGAAAATTGGGATAAAAATAAAATAATAAAAAACTTTATTCTTTTTAGTTCAAGTGTAGGTGTTTTTGTTTCGTATTTAGTCAATTTGTTTATATGAACTTTTATGTGTAAGCTGAGTTATAATAATTTGTGATAAAAATGGGAAAACTTTCGGAAATGCCGAAAATTATATTTCCGTTTCGACGGAAATCTATAAAATATCGTGCTAGATTACTTAGAAAAAGACAAACATTAGCACTCCTTCTAAGCATTAAAGTTAAAATATATGGGAAATTAATATACTAAGTATTGAATAAAAAAAAAAAACCTTTAGCTTTAAAGCAATATTTACAAATTTAAAGCGGATATCCAATAAATGTGGTTTATTTGTGGATTCTGAATATGGTTTTTAGGTTCCAACGGTTTATTAGGAACAGACAGTATTATCGAAATTAAATATCCTGCCACTGCTTCAAAACTGACTCCGAAAAAAGCAATGGTTGACAACATAATAAAATTTGCAATTATTAATGATAATGCGAAAATGCAATAATTGTTCAGGGGCAACTTAACGTAACTAAACGAAATATTTTTTTTTTTATTTATTTTAATACCTTTAAGTATGTTAGTAGAAAAAATAAAAAAGATGATAGATTTTGGTGTATATGGAAAACAAACTAAAGCAATTTTATTTAGATTGTATACTACCCGAGATCTTAGATCCACGTTTCACTAGAGGTTTAGATATTAGAAATTTGAGTAGAAATCCGAGTAGAAATCCGAGTAGAAATCCGAGTAGAAATCCGACCAATAGTCAATAAAAATGATTATTTTTATTCCTTCTTTTACTAATAATAAATCATTTTACTCAATGTTATTTTTAAATATTTTTAGTACTAGAAAACAATTTTTTCTACACCCAAATGGATAGCGTATCTACGTACAGACTACAAAACGAAAAAATATGCTATTGCGTAAAATGAGTTATACTTGTGTAGAATCGATAAATAATAGCATTTCTAGTTTTATTTGATCTATATTTAGAAATAAATAATTATATATTTTAATTAAACTATATGAAATCAATTTAATTTATATTCACTCATGTTACACAAACTACTATTTTCTACATCCACATGGATATGCTTTTTTCTATACCCACATGAATATTAGCTAATCTACGCACATACTACAAAACAAAAAAGTATTCCATTGCGTTCAACTGAACGAATATATTTCATATTCATTCTACCTAGTAAGAACACTGCAAAACAGTTAAATCCACCAATCAGATTATATATTGGTCACCCGGCTACTATTATTTTTTAAATTTTATGTAGTCAAACTAACTGTCAGTATATTTTTGAATTATTGAGATTAAATATACGTAAAAATGAATATTTCTTATGTATAATCGATAAGTAATAGAATTTCTATTTTTATTTCGTCCAAATTTATAAACAAATCTTAAATTTTAATCAAACCATATAAAACTAATTTAATTACAAGTATTAGAACTATAATGGCAAGTGTGGCGACGGCACGGAGTTTGTCTCCAAGCGAGAGACCCGAGTTCCAATCATGGCTGGGGACTAATTAAATTAAATCTTTTTGTATGTTTATTTTATTTTATAAATTATTAAAAGTCATACATTATTTTAAAATTATTTATTTTGTCTTAATAAATTACTTTTTTAAATTTGTAGAATTTCGTTAGGGTGTCGTAGAAAAAATATACTGTACAACTCGAGTGGATTGTCTGTATCGCACTCAGACGATTAAGCACTCCGTCTACGGCGTCGTTCTGAAACTTCGTCTTCGTGCGATAGGGCCATCATATCCAATTTTGTTGCACAAACTACTATTCACGCACAGACTACAAAACGAAAAAATATACTATTGCGTTCAACTCAACGAATATATTTCATATCCATTCTGGGTAGTGAGAACACTGCAAAAAAATGAAATGCACCAATCACAGTTTATATATTGGACACCCAACAACTATTATTTTTAAAATTTTAAATAAGTGACAATTCTGTCAAACTAATTGTCAGTATATTTTTTAGGAATTGAGATTAAATATACATTAAAATGAGTTATTTTTGCGTAGGATTCATAAATAATTTTAATTTAGACCACAATTTAAAAAATCCTAAATTTGAATTAAACTACCTATATGAAACTAATTTAATTACTACTTTTAGAACTAAAATTTTAAATGTGGAGGTGAAAATGATGATACGGCATCTGTCTTTCACGCGAGAGGTCCGAGTTCAAATCTGGGCTGGGGACTAATTAAATGAAATATTTTTTTATGTTTATTTTATTTCACAAATTAGTAAAGTCATAAATTATTTTAAAATTAATTATTTTGTCTTTTCCTAAAATAATACTTTAAATTTGTAGATTTTCGTTAGTGGGTCGTAGAAAAAAACATACTGTACAACTCCAGTGGATTGTCCACTGTTGTTGCACAAACTAGTATCAAATGGGTTATTATTTAAAAAAAGTATTTTTATACAGGGTATTTGTAAATAAGTACGAACGATTTTTGCAAATTGTTATCAAAGTTATTTTGTTAAAAAAAGTTCCTATAAAAGTAGGTCGAAATATGCTTCGTTTCCGAGATACAGAATGTTTAAATTTTAATTTATTAAATTTTATTAATTATTTTTAATAGTTTTAAAGATATTTACTCTAAATTTGCAAAAAAACTTTGAAGGGGCAAATGTGTATTTTTTGGGGTGTTCCAAATATTTCTACTTGTACCAGTGGCGTTTGTGCGAGAATGCCACTTTTTTAATAAAAAAGTACTGCGCCACTGACTTTTTCGATCTATGTTTTTTTTATAAAATAACTTCGGCAAACATTCCCTAAAATCATTCACACTTACCAACAAACACCCTGTATATCAGAAAATGTAGAAATAGGTACATATGTATATTTTAAAATATATTTCGTAAATAAATAAATTAGTTATAAAAAATTTTTTTCGAAAATGTTACACCAGGTTATACCTTTAAAAGATATTTTAAACGAGAAAACAAAACAGAAATACTCTTTGTTAGACCGGACCTGCGATTTATCGGCATTTTTAATATTTTAAATCATCTATAGTTTATAAGTAATAAATTGAAGGGAGCGTAAGCCTGGGAATAGAGCAACGTTGCCAAAGTGGGTTCAGATGCACTGAAAGTTGTCAAATCTGAATTTGCTGTTAGGTGTTGCATGGATATCGCTCTTAAGTCCTCTTGAAAACCTTCCCAATTAGTTTTCCGATTTGCTAAGTCGGTTTGGCTTCTTTTTGAATAACATTATCATTTAGAGTAAGGATTACTGCAGAATGGTCTGAATCCATATCAAAGTTTTCTTCTACTTATGTATAGTTTGGTGAAATTTTCCTCAGAATAAAGAAATCCAAAAGGTCTGGAATCTTATTTGGGTTGGTGGGCCAATAGGTGGGTTTTTCAGAAGATTGGTATGTACAACCAAGTTCTGATGCAGCTCGATGCAATTCTTTTCCTTTGATTGTGGTTAATCTTGAACCCCAGTTGGTGTTTGTGGAGTTGTAATCTCCACCGATTATAAATTTGTTACCTAGCTCTTTGAGTGAGATAATTTTCTTTTTTCTGGTTGAATCTTGGTGGGCAATAGATTGCAGCTATTGTAATTTTACCAACCTTAATGTTAATGTTGCTAATGCTTACCTGATTTTCTGGTTCTTGGATGCCGAGTTCCTCATACTGGGAAATGTTATTTTTAATAATTAACGCATTTCCTCCTCTTGCTGCATTTGATGGATGGATAGTCTAAAAATGTAGCCACATAACCTGCAGAATTTTTCAAATTTTTATATTTCTGTAAGCAATCAACATTTTTTAAATACATCATCAATAAGGAAATTATTTTTCATATATTATCAGTTTCATCACATATAAAGCATTTTATTTTTCTTAATTAAAAAGAAATAATTTATTTGTAATTTACAAAATATTGTTATGTTTTTGCAAGAAACTTTTATGCCATTTGTATTCCATCTTTTTTTTTAATTTTAATTTCTGATTTTGCTTTTTTATTATCCTTATAATTGTGTACGTTTACTATAGGTATAGTAGCATACTATACTTTTTTATAGGAAGCCATAAACATGGAAGAAATAAAGTCAAATGTCAAACCCAGAAGAAAACACCCACTTGATAATGCTGATATAATTTCTTGGTTACTATTTTTGTAAGTAATTAAATTCTCATAATATATTTAATAATTGTTTGTCACTTGCCTAGCAAGAAACATAAAAACCAACAAAAAAATAAAAATAATAGTAATAATATAGAAAAATAAAGAAAGTGAAATCCAGCAAATTCAAAATAAACCTACTTTTCTATAAAATTTATATTATAGTAACCAACAAAAATTACAATAAATATTATGACAATAAAATAAACCAACAATACAGCTGGCCTTGCTTTGTTTCATTTAACTTTGATTTTTTTTATTTATATTCAAATTTTTCAAAATCATTATTTTAAGCTGGTTACTTCCGTTTTTCAAAGAAGGCTACAAAAAGGAACTAACAGAAGATGACATCTTTGAACACAGAAAAAGTCACGATTCGGGCCAATTGGGTGATAAATTAGAAGCAACTTGGAATAAGCTATCTGCCAATAATAAGAAGCCATCTTTGATCAAAGCTATAATCCAAACATTCTTTTTGGAAGCTCTGCTTTTAAACTGTCTTATTTTTACAGAAGAAATGATTAGGTAAGCTTCTGTTGAAAATTTATTAAAATTGATTTGGAATAATATTTCTACCATTTTGATTTTTTTTTTTTTTTTTTTTTTTTTTAGAATTTCTCAACCATTCTTTATCACAAAGCTAATTTTGGTGTATGAAAATAACAGAGCAAATGAAGACAAAAGCGAAATATATATCTACGCTGCTTTGATAGTCATAACTTCATACATTTCAAACAATATGGCTCACAATTTCAATCTAGCGATCATGCAGCTTGCTATAAAAATTCGAGTATCATGTTGTTCTTTGATCTACAGAAAAGCTTTAAGGTAATCCTTCTATTATAATCTTTAAAGACAGTTGTCAGCTAACATTTGTCGGTGTCGCCATGACGATCAAAGTGCGATCGTGATGTAACATAAAAAATCGCCGATAAAAATATTTTTAAGAGCAATTGATAGTGATAGAAATAAAATGAAAGTTTCCCAAGAAAATATTGCTGCAAAATTACAGAATAAAGAAGCAATATACATTTTTTTAAAACAAACAGAACTGGAGAGGAATAATCTTGCTGATAAGAAGCAGTTGCTTCAAATCCAGATAGATAAAATCAAGAAAACAAATGATGAATTAATCAAAAAATATACAGGAATAGAAGAAGTATTGTTAGCAATATAAATAATATCTACAACTAAGCCCACTGAATACTTTACTGATGAAGAAGATCTGCCAAAAGAGACTGAAAGGACTCGCGTGAAAAACAGGAAAAAAAAAAGAAAAATTGATACTTCATTGACACCTCCGCAACCACAGCCACTACAACAAAATAACAGCACTACAATAGAAAAACCTGTAAAAATCAATTCTCCACCACCTATCATAATGGATAACTTTCAAAACTGTATTAGACTCCATAGTATGGTGAGACAAATCCCAAACTCCCAAATTAGAATAAAGCACAATAGCTGCATTTGCAGATGATACTGCCATCCTAGCGATATGCAAAAGATCATGAAGAGGCTGCAAATAAACTACAAACATCAGTTAATCAAATAAATAGTTGGACCAAAAGATGGCGTATTAATCTAAACGAAATCAAATCTGTAATTATTAATTTTACTAACAAAAATGGTCAAAGAATTCCAATTAACATAAATAATGCTCAGGTCTCTTATGCTAACTCCGCAAAATATCTAGGTATTACATTAGATGCAAGACTTCGCTGGAATAAAAGACAAAAGTTAGACATAAAATTCAAGAAAATGTATTGGTTACTTGGTAGGCATTCCAGCCTATCTACAAATAACAAGTTCTTAAACCAATTTGGAACTATGCATTCAGCTCTGGGGTTGTGCCAGCTACAGTAATGATCTAATAATCCAGAGATTCCAGAACAAAGTATTGAGGAACTTTATCGATGCTCCTTGGTACATAAGAAACAGCGACCTTCATCGAGACCTTCAGATGGATAATGTTGACCAGACTATCATCAGATAAGCTAGGAGTCACGAACAACGGCTCGACCAACATGTGTACGTTGGGGCGATTCAGCTTCTTGACAAGACGAGTGAAACCTTTTGAGTAACCCAAGTGTTAATTGCACAATAATGGCAAACACAATGACAAATGATGAGTTATTTCTCAAGTTAAAAATACTACAAGAAGAACATACACAAAAAATAACAGAAGAAATAAAAAATAATAAAACATAATTAGAGAAGAAGATTCAAATTACCAGTAATAAAGTTGCAAGTCTAGAAACGCAAAATTTATCATCGGAAAGAAAAAGGAGAAAGAACAATATCATTTTGTTCGGGGTAGAAGTACATAAAAGTGAAATTTTGGATCAAACTATTCAGATAATAAAGGATTTGTTCGGTCTTAATTTGAATCCATGGGAAATAAATAACGCGTACATAGTGGGCAAAGAAGAAGAAAAAAGGGGCCTAGTAATAGAATTTGTCTCATTCTTTCAAAAAATCAATATTTACAGAAACATAGAAAAACCCAAAGGCAAAAATATCACAGTTATAAATGACTTATGCCCACAAGATAGAGAAGAACAGAAGGTACTGATTAAATATTTAAAAATAGCCAGAAGCAAAAAATTAGAAGCGAAGATTGTTGATTTTAAACTAATAATAGAGAATCGTGTATATACTACGAAAGAACTGTCCAACGTCCAGAACTTTGAAGATTTAGATCCTAGAAATTATTGTGGCATAAGCAACGAAGAAAGTCGTAGAAGATCCAAAAATTTAAATAATTCCTCAAATTCTAGATCGACAACAAACGCACAACTAGTGAAGGAAAGATCTATTTTCTCTCCCCCTGTATAATTACTTAAACAAAAAAGGTGAAACGAATGGAATTTGGTCTGCCGATTTGTTAGAGATAATAAATATAAATATATAGAAATATCGGTATGTTATTTTTATTTTTGGATATAGTGCTAGGTATAATGAAATAAGTTTATTTCCATTTTATTCGCATTTATATATATTATATTTACTTGTATTATTTTATAAAAATGGATCCTTATTTGCATAATTTTAAATTATTTGAAATAAACACAACTCGCATAAAAACGGTCAAAGATTTTTTTGAAGAAAATAGTAGAACGGAACAAAAATATTTTTCTATTTATAATTGTAACATAAGAAGCGTGAACAAAAATTTTGATGAAATGAATGTCGTACTAGAAGAGTTTCTTAAGAAAAATTATTTCTTTGATTTTATTGTATTTACAGAAACATGGGAAATTCATGATTTAAATATGTTTAAAATAAAAGGGTATCAGATTATATACAATGAAGGAAACTTCAATCAAAATGATGGGGTAATAGTCTATATAAAAGATAATTATACGATTTCGCATTGGGATGCATTAAAGGTAGGGGAAATAAAGTTTCTAAATGTTAATGTTAAAATGAATTACGATGAAATAAGTTTAAATGCAATATATAGACCACATGGTACATGTACAAAAAATTTTAATGAAACTTTAAATATTTTTTCAGAACAAAATAAATCTAGAAAGATACACTTTTTAGCGGGGGATATTAATCTTGACATAAAATCAAACAAACAAGACTGTTTAGATTATTTAGATATTTTGAGTGAATGGGGATTCGAATCCTTAAATAACGAATATACAAGAGTTTCAAATGGTTCTAAAAGTTGTATAGACCACATTTTTTTAAAAAATCATAAAAATCCCCAGTGTAAATCATTTGTATACCAAATTGATGTAACTGATCATTACCCAGTCATTGCATTAATGGAAATTAACATTCAGGCAAACGATATTTCGAAGAAACAGAACACATTTAAGTCGTTAGATTTTAATATTCTGTGCAATCTATTAGCACAACAAAGTTGGGATCAAATATATAATACCCGAGATTTAGATGTAGCGGTAAACATATTTTTAGGTAAAATTAACATTGCCGTTGATTTAGCTACAAAGGAAATACAAATTAAACATCATACAAAAAAAAGAAATCCATGGATATCAAATGAAATAATTGAGTCCGTTCAAATTAAGCAAAAACTGTATCGCGACTGTAAACTTGATCCATATAATCTAAATAAAGAAAGAACTTACAAACAATATAAAAATTATTTAAATAGAGCAATTGCATTAGCAAAAGAAAATTATTTTAAAAAACAAATTTCAAATAATACTGATAGTAAAACACTCTGGAAGGTTATAAATAATTTTACAAACAAAGATAGAATTAAAGCTAAAATGGGGGAAATAGAAGTTGAAGGAAAGAATATAAAAGATAAAAGGGAAATTGCAGATCACTTTAACAACTATTTTACCAATTTGGGCAAAACTTTGGCAAATAAAATAACAAAAACTCAAGGATATAAATTAAAAAATTATAAAAATGATATATCTATATTTCTTCAGCCAACAGATGAGGTAGAAGTTGAACACTTTATAAGAGAGCTAAAAATAAATAAAGCACCTGGTTTAGATAAATTAACTCCACAAATTTTAAAAATGACTGTACATCAACTGAAAACTCCATTAGTTTATATTATAAACAAGATAATTGAAACTGGATACTTTCCAGAAAATTTAAAAAAGGGTCTAATAAAACCATTACTTAAAAAAGGAAACGCTAAGCTTATGTTTAATTACAGACCAATATCACTTCTTTCAAATGTTACTAAAATAATTGAAAAAATATTAAAGAAAAGAATTGTCTCTTTTTGTGATAAATATAATTTAATTTCTGAAAGTCAGTTCGGTTTTAAAGAAGGAATATCAACTGATGATGCTATAATACATTTAACAAAAAATATTTATAAAAGTCTAGATAATAATAATGTTGTGCTATGTCTATTTTTAGACCTCGCCAAGGCCTTCGATACGGTCGACCACAAAATTTTGATTGATCGCCTCGAGGATCTGGGATTTAGAGGAACAGCTTTAAATCTAATGAAATCGTACCTACACAACAGGATCCAATATGTTCAAATCGATGATATTGTCAGTAAGCCATGTATAGTAGAATATGGAATACCACAGGGTACTGTTTTAGGGCCTATCCTTTTTAATATTTATGTAAATGATCTTTTTAAACTGGCATCATTAGGAAAAATTTCATCATTTGCTGATGATACCGCAATTATTTATCAAGGTACCAGTTGGACAGAAGTAAAGCATATGGCTGAAAAAGATATAATAAATGTTAAAAGATGGTTCGATAATATGTCTTTAACAATTAATTTTGAAAAAACCAATTATATACCCTTTACTTCCAACCGTGTTAAAAACCCTGAATTTACAAACATAACATTACAGTCAGAAAATAATATCAAGATTTACGAAGTAAATCATATAAAATACTTAGGGGTGGAAATAGACAGACATCTTAAATGGGATGTGCATATAAAAGGCTTAGTAAAAAAGTTAAGATCTATTTTGTACAAATTTAAATGCATCAGAAAAATATTGGATAATACTCATTTAGAAATGGTGTATTATTCATTGGTGTACTCACATATCCAGTACGGAATTACAGCTTGGGGAGGCGCTTATAATAACCATATCAAACATCTTGAAATTATGCAAAAAAAATTTATTAAAATAATCTATAATCGAAACTATGATTATCCAACAACCTCTCTCTTTATAGAGAGTAAATTACTTGACATTAGACAAATTTATTTACAAAAAGTAGTTACTTACCAACACAAAAAAAGACGCGAACTATTAGATATTCAACACGAACACAACACCCGGCATAAATTAAGAATGAAAACAAAAACAATAAAAGTTTACAAATCAGCAACCCAAAAAAGAATGTTATATATAGCGCCTCACATATATCGCTTTGTGCATGAAAAAATTAAAGAAATAAAAAATTCCAAAAGCTTTGGTAAAAATATTAAGTTTTGGTTAAAAAACTATCCGCGAAAAAAGTTTAAATATTTATTTGAATGAAAATTAATCCTGTCATCAATATTTTTGTTCACACACTTTTTCTAATTACTTAAATAATTAATTTGATTTATTTGTATGTACATATTTAGGTAAGCTTTAAAAGATACATATATATTTTTAGTTTTTAGGAATATAATCTATTAAATTGTAATAATTAACTTTTCTTTTAAAAGAGAAGGAAAATATAGTTTTTCCCACGTACTAGTCGTAAGACTTCAGTGGAGATATTTATTTTCCATCTTCATTTGGAAAAGATATGTATAAAAAAAAAAATTGTATGTAAATTGTAGAATTTGGGAAATAAAATTATTATATTATTATTATACTAAACTAACGTGTAACAAGTTATCAGACCCTATGGAATACTAGAGAGTAGAAGTTTAGTTTTTAGGATTGCAAACCTAGTTAAGTTAGGTTATAACATAAGTACTCATTGATCAACTCTTGATCAGATTGTAATATTAATAAACTCCCCTTTTGGAGTGTCTTTTTCACAAAATAAAAATTTTTATAGACAGAAACAGTATCATCAAACATTTGCTATGCTGAAAATGATAATAATATTGCACTGCTCCACTTATATGAAGTTTTTTATACAACTTAAAACTTCAAACAGGAGCATTATGAAAACTTTTACTTTTAGGTTAAGTAAGTCCGCTTTAGCCGAAACTACAGTTGGTCAAATGGTTAATTTACTATCAAACGATGTCGGACGATTTGACCAGGCAATTTTTTTCTTCCATTATACATATTTAGCACCAATAGAAATGTTAATCGTGATGTATTTGCTGTACGTTAATGTCGATATTACTGCTTTAGCAGGAGCTATGCTTTTACTCTTGTCGATTCCTTTTCAGTGTAAGTAGTATAGTTTTAGTAATTAAAATAACTACTTGATGTTAATAATACATTTTTAGTTTGGTTAGGAAAAAAGACATCACAATTCAGGCTTAGCACTGCTACAAGAACTGACGAAAGAGTACGGTTGATGAACGAAATTATTTCTGGTATTCAAGTCATTAAGATGTACACATGGGAGTTTCCGTTTGCTAAATTGGTCGAATTTGTCAGAAGGTAAGTTTGTTAGTAGTATAGTGCTATTTGTAACAAAACTGCTTAAGATAAAACCGAGGAAATCGCATTATAATTTTTTTTGGATTGTAAGCCCCAATGGTTTGTTAAATATTTAAAGTAATACATTTTCCTGACTTGTAGAGTGACTTTTTGGATTTTGCGGTCATATAGTAGTACACGTTACGCTCTATGCTATAGTATCAATATCTCATTTTTGGAAAATAATGCCCTTCTGCACAGTCTAATTTTGGAATACCTTCGGTTTTAGAATCTCCAAAATATTAGTTTTTAATAAAATAATAGCTTGTGACACTCAACCCCCCACAGAAAGCATAATTACCATTGACTGGCACTACACTATAGATACTAATTTTCGAACATTCCAATTATTGTTTTTACTTTTTGTTTCCCTTATTCTTGTTGCTCTCTTTTTTATTATTTTTCATTATTTTCCTTATTCTACTTCTCTTTCACGTCTTTATATTCCATACTCCTTTAAGATTCTTTCATACTCAAATGAAGTAAATTGTAACATATTGTTAATTTTTTAGGACAGAAATAAAGTACATTCGCTACACGTCAGTAATAAGAGCAATACTCATCTCCTGTTCTTTGCTCCTAAACAGATGCGCCGTAGGTATCTGCATCCTCACTTACGTTCTAACCGGAAACCCTTTAACAGCAACATACGCCTATGCGGTCACTGCATACTACAGATTGCTGTATACGATCACAAACTATTTTCCCATCGCAGTATCCCAATCTGCGGAAATGTACATTTCCACTATGAGAATACAGAAATTTTTAACGTACGATGAAGTAAATACAGACCAAAAGTACATTTTCGAAAAATTAAAAACCGACAACAGAATGTTGAAAAGTAACTCAGAATTAAGATTAAAAGGACCTGATGCGAGAATCTTCATAAAAGAAGCTAATGCTAAATGGTTAAAATCTTCACCTGAGAATAATTTAGAGAATATTAACATGGACTTGACAGCTGGCAGCGTTACAGCTGTTATAGGACCAGTTGGTAGTGGGAAAACAACATTATTGCATATTATAATGAAGGAATTAGAACTGGAAAGTGGTGTTGTTACCGTACAAGGTGTAGTTTCATATGCTTCGCAAGAACCTTGGTTATTCGGAGGTAGTATACGACAAAATATCCTATTTGGACAGAAGTTCGATCAAAAGAAATACAACGAAGTTGTTAAAGTTTGTGCGCTAAAAAAAGATTTTACTCTTCTGCCTCACGGTGACAGAACTCTAGCTGGAGAACGGGGTGTAACCCTAAGTGGAGGACAACGAGCTAGAATTAACCTAGCGAGAGCTGTGTACAAAGAAGCTGATATATACCTACTGGACGATCCTTTATCAGCTGTTGATACCCACGTTGGGAAACAACTCTTCGACGACTGCATATCTGGATACCTAGGAAACAAATGTGTTGTGCTGGTAACTCACCAACTTCAATACCTAAAAAAATTAGACAGCATATATTTAATGAACGCAGGAAAAGTAGAAGCATCTGGATCTTACTCGTTTATCAAATCCTCGACTAGTCCTTACAGTAAACTCTTGGCGAACATCGCAGACGAAGAGGAAGAAGTAAGAAGACGATCAAGACTGATTTCTATGAACGAAGAAATGCAGCAACAGGAGGAGCACGAGATGCAAGAACTACAGAAAGAGGAAAGGGGTACTGGCAAAATCGCTGGAAGGGTTTATCTGAAGTTTGCAAGAGCTGGAGGATCTAACTTAGAGGTTGCATGTTTGGTTCTTGGGTTTCTTCTGAGCCAGATTCTAGATAGTTCGTCGGAATATTTTGTAACATTTTGGTAAGTATAACTGTAGTTATGGATAGAGAAGTGCTTTGAACAAATGGTAACCAGTGTATGGAAAACAACTATTTGGTAATTTTAGGGTAAATATTCAGCAATGGCATTTACATACTCTTAATTTATTAAAAGAAGTTGCTGCAAATAACGCAACTTTGGAAATAAATTCAACAATCACGAACACGTCATCTCTATTCACCAATACATCTCTTCCTCAAGCATTACCAAGAAGTCCTTTTGAAGATTGGTGGTTGACGCCTATATTTACTACAAACACAGCTTTGTACTATGCGATACTTATTCTAATTATAGTAGGTGTAGTGCTCAGTACGTCTTTGGCATTCTATAGATGGTGTCTCAATGCTTCTACAACGCTACACAATAGGATGTTCGTTAACATTGTGTACAGTCCTATGATTTTCTTTAATAATAATCCATCTGGAAGAATTTTGAATAGATTTTCTAAAGATGTTGGTACGCTGGATGAAGTTCTACCTATGACGTTAATAGATACAATACAGGTCAGTAGGTAGCGTATAGTGAATTAAATATCTGCAGCAGGGTCCGCTCCAAGGCCGAACAAACCGGATATTATCTACTACTACTCATATTTCTTACCTGTCTATTGATGTAATAGTGTTTATTATTTAAATTTTTTTTTTTGAATTCATATCGAAATTATTGTCCTAGATTGCTTTAATGGTTGCTGCTTCAACTATAGTGATTGGAAGTTTGACTCTATGGATACTGATACCAACTGTTTTGATGTCTATAGCATTTTATTTCATCAGAATAGTTTATGTGGCTACTAGTAGGGATGTTAAGAGAATTGAATCAGTTAGTAAGTACTCTAGTGATTAATTTTCTTTTACCATTGATCCGAACAATCTTTTTCTAGCCAGAAGTCCCGTCTTCACACATCTATCTGCTTCACTACAAGGTCTGACTACGATCAGAGCATTTAAAGCCCAAAAAATTCTTAAGAAGGAGTTTGATCATTACCAAAACTTAAACAGTTCTGCCTACTTTCTATACGTAGCTGCTAGCAGAACGTTTGGTTTTTGGTTAGATTTCTTTTGCATTTCTTATATAGCACTGGTTATTGCTGCATTGATATTTGTTAAAAGTGGTAAGTTTTATTTATACATACACATTTTTGTCTATTTTTTATTGACTTTTTTTTATTAGAACAATTTGGTGGAAATATGGGTTTGGCTCTAACTCAAGCCATGGCTTTGACTGGAATTCTCCAGTGGGGTATGAGACAGTGGAGCGAATTTGAAAATCAAATGACATCAGTGGAAAGGGTGCAGGAATATGCAGATTTAGTTCAGGAAAAGGATCAACCTTCCCAAGTTCCTGAAGACGCATGGCCCGAAAAAGGACGAATAGAATTCAGAGATGTATCCTTGAGATATTCGCCTGAAGATGATTACGTGTTAAAAAATCTCAAATTCGTTATAAATCCGAGCGAAAAAATTGGAATAGTTGGTAGAACTGGAGCTGGAAAATCATCATTAATTCAAGCTTTGTTTAGATTGGCTGATATCGATGGAAGTATTGTAATAGATGGATTTGATACTAAGACTATTGCTTTGAAATTCCTGAGATCGAAAATTTCTATTATACCCCAAGAACCTGTTTTATTTTCTGGAACACTAAGGAAGAATTTAGATCCGTTTGACGAATATAACGATGAGGTATGTATATGTAGATCTATAACCATTTTTAGAATTCTAATTATCATTTTTCTTTAGACGCTTTGGAGTGCTTTGGAAGAAGTAGAACTAAAACATGTATTAGATGAATTACCAGCAGGGCTGGACAGCAAAATGGCCGAAGGAGGTTCCAATTTCAGTGTAGGCCAAAGACAGCTTCTCTGTCTAGCTAGAGCTATAATACGTAACAACAAAATACTAGTCCTAGATGAAGCCACAGCTAATGTAGATCCACAGACTGATAACTTAATTCAAACCACTATACGAAATAGATTTGCGAATTGTACAGTATTAACCATAGCTCATAGATTGCACACAATTATGGATTCAGATAAGGTCTTGGTTATGGATGCTGGAAAGAATGTAGAGTTTGATCATCCTCACACGCTTTTACAAAATCAAAAAGGGGTGTTTTCCTCTTTGGTAAGGCAAACTGGAAAAGCGACTGCTAAACATTTGAGATCTATAGCAGAAGAAAATCAAAGAATTAACAATTCGAATAATTCTAATTAATGAAATAGATTTATATAGAGAAATTTAAAATGCTTTTGTTCTAGAAACCATAAAATTATTATAAAAAAAAAACCTACCTACCTCAAAGGTGATTAAACATTATTTTTACTTAAAATAATTTTTTTATACAAAAATTTAAATATATCTAGAATTTAAATATATATTTATTAAAAATTATTAAATACAAATATATTGAAGTTTATAATTTATTTTTTACAGTTTTTGTTTAAAAAATATCCTAATTATACTCAAACAATTTTTAAATACTTAAAATCAGCGATAAACTAAGAAGGTCTACTAGGAAGGCCAATAAACTAGTTAGGTACTTGTTTAATTAAATAAATCAGTGTCGTAGCGTGAGACAGGTATATTGTCCATTTCCAAAAACTTCTAAAACACACTCAACTATTTTTTTCAGTTAACGAATAAAACCTCTCAGCATTAATATGGATGCAGTAGCGGGTCCAAGTAATTCACAACGAAAACGAAAAATTTTAGCATCGGTCAACATAGAAATATGATTGCTTTTATTTGGGCCAAACATATTCAAAAATCCCCAAGCAATTAATTAAAGACAACGCTAATCTAATTATTATGTCTAAGTAAGACGACTTAAATCTCCAGCACATTTATTTACAACATGTAGCTTCAGATGTTTCTTTTAAGAAATTTCAGGAAATATGTGCTGAATGTTGGGGTGAAAAACATGGTTTTCTAGTAATCGATAAAGATAAAAATCCAAAAAAGGATTCGATAGCTTCATATACCCTTAAACAACAAAATATTTATTATTTTTCAAGTACTACCCCAGGTGGCAGGTGGTCCCGATAAATAGAATGTATACCAATAAAAGTTTTTAATTTAAAATGGGAACTGGCAGCCGTCTCTTATGCAGTTAGACAGAAATGTCATGCCATAAAAGTGGGCGTGCCGAAAGTATGCAGGTTCTAGAAAAAACAGATGGTCTATAGCGTATATGAAGGTTTAATAAATGCAAGCTTTGGAACGCTGTTTAATTTTAACGAGAGTATCCGTGGCAACAATTGAACGCATTATACGTGAAAAAAAAAGGAGACTGGGACTGTGTAAGCTCCAAAAGTAAATTGTCGTGGTCGTTATTGCGTTATTGCGCTAGCGCACAAGGTGTACTCAACTTCATAATATTTTTAAAAATGTGGTTTTTCATGTTTTTCTTAATGTGAAAACAACAATTAGGTTAGAATTTTTTGCAGTTAATTTTTCATTTTATTTAATTTATTATGACGAAAAGATTATCTAAAACAACTGTGAAATAGTATGAGGAGCTACTTAATTTTGTTAGAAAACACAAAATTATTCTCACGGGGAAAACAAATATATTAGATAAAAAAAATTCAAACCTTTGCCATTTACAAATCGTATAAATTAAAATATACTAAGAATTTGGTTAATTAGCAATATAGGTATTGGATAATTAAATAAACAAATAAAGTATTTATTTACCAATATTTTATCAAAAATGAATCTATATTAATAGTTAAAAAAGGATGAAAATCAGTCAAATATAAGAGCTTTATTTGTACATTTTTTCCACATTAAAAACAATAAATGCGACCAAATAAGGTAACACAAAAAAAACATTTATATATTAACAAAAAAATACAATATCCAACCAAACTGCTTACTATATACATCTGTAATCAATCAAATCCCAAGACATCCCCACCTTTCCTAAAATCAGCATTTCCATAAACATAATTCTTATCAACATGCAAACCACACACGTTAGACTTTACCCCCTTCTTCATGATATGTCCAATAGCCTTCAATCCATTAACAACTTGTTCCAAAATACCATATTCGTAATTCACCTCCATTGGAACTAACTGGTGATGGATTCTAGGCGCATCTATAGCCGATTTTATAGTATCTCCAAACCAAAGCATTCTGATTAAGGTCAATGCAACTGAGCTTGTGATTTGGCTTCCTCCAGCCCCACCAACAACGAGTTTAACATTATTATCACTATCTACGATGATGGTGGGGCACATTGATGACAAAGGACGTTTTCCAGGACGCATTTGGTTACTGGGTGAGCCAGGTAGACCGAAATAGTTTATCTTCCAAGGGTAGGAGAAATCGTCCATTTGGCTGTTCAAAACTATACCTGTTCGCTTGGAGGTCATTCCTGCTCCGAAGAATATATTTAACGAGCTAGTTACGGATACTGCATCACCATCTGGAGCAACCAGATTCAAATGCGACGTTCCGTGGTCCGTAAGGTTTTCAAAAAATTCCCCTCCGTAGTATTCTGGATCCGTTCTAGTCTCGCCGTCTTTGATTTTCCTTCTAATATTTTCCGCAAACGTTTTTGAAGCGATTTCTTCGAGTAAACCCTTGATGTTGGCGAACTTTGGGTCGCCCATTTCTGTTCTTTTCGCGTAAGCGTATTTGAATACCTCGATTATTCGATGAAAAGTAGTGACAGTGTTACTGGTATCATCTATGCTATCTCTGGTAAAGTTGTAACCTTCGAGGGTGTTCAAAATGAAGGCAAGAATTGCACCTGAAGCAGGAGGTGGGACTGAGTATAGAGTATCGCCGTTTCTTAGAGTTAGCTCGTAAGGTTCTTCCCATTCTATTCTAAAATAAAGCAAAGGGTGAGAATATTTATTTCTTTAGGTAATAATACTTACTCGTAATCCCTCAAATCTTGCTCAGTAATGATTCCACCCGCTTCTTTAATATCCTCCAGCACCAATCTTGATATATCTCCTATATAAAAATCATTGGGTCCATTATCAGCTAAAATTCTAAGGGTTTCACACAATCTAGTTGGAATAATTCTCGATCCAGGAGGTTTAAAATTTCCTTCGCTATCCTGAAACCATTCTTGGAAATTTATGTCTGTCGATAGATGTTGTCTACGTAATTTTAATGACTTGTATTGATGATTCGTCATACTATATCCGTTTTCACACAAATCTATGGTTGGTTTAACGAGAACTTTCCACGGAAGCCTACCGAATTTTTGATGCGCAGCGTAGTATCCTACGAAGATAAATACTTTATTAAAAAGAAAACACTAACGATCATCTCCCAGCCTGTAGGTGTTAACATGAGGACTGTCGTACTCAAACCATCGGATCAGTTTATACGTGCCACATTTCTTTGGGTTCATACTACATAAATAACACTACATACCTTTTAATTCTCCAGGAACGGCTACTGATAACGGTCCAACTGAAGTGGCATCTGGTTGATTTTGGTACAATGTATTCCTCGCTCTAAGCGGTGCTGTTTCCCTAGCGTTAATAACATAAATTTTGCTTTCATCTTTCTTATAAATAATCATAAAAAATCCTCCTCCGAGACTCATGCTTTGCATATTCACCATTCCGTTGCAAAGCATCACTGCTATCATGGCGTCTACAGCTGAACCATTCATCAATAAAATTCTTTTTCCGATGTCCACGCATTGGGCACCATCCAAACATACTGCGCTTTTAGTAAAGCGGCCCAATTTGGAAGGGGATGGCGGTAGTGGTTCAGTAGGGTTTGGAGGTTCTAATACTTCCTCTTGGGCATGATTGATTCTATGTTTGCCTGCAACTGCAGCGTGTAATAATATATAGAATGAAAACAGGAAAGTTATCTTGAACGATGTATGTCGATTTTTAATATAGTTGCAAGTTTTACAAATATAATTCACAGCTGTGTTTTTAGTGTTTTTTGCAGAATAAGACATTGATAAATGCCATAATTATTATAAATTTATGAATAAATAAATCTGTCAAATATCTAAAGTTAACAGAGTTAACCGAGTTTTTGACATAAAAAACATAAAACTGTTTTCTATGGAGAACATTTTATGTTTTTTGCTGGGTAAAATACAAATCAAAAATTGGCGCTGTCAAACTTGGCAGGGCTGCTTAAATAAGCCAATTACAGGAGAGAGATTTCCCCCCTGAGGGGGAGTAGATGTTGATCACAAAATTTAGCACGGTGAAGGGAGAAGACTCTCTTTAGTAGTAATTGCTCGAAGGAGTCAACCGAGTTTTTGATATAAGAAACATGAAATTGTTTTCTAGGGAGAACATTTTTAGTATTTTTTCTGTCATTTTCACAATTACATAATAACTGTCATGCTACGTAGGGTTATATCAATGAAGTTGAATACTATGGAGATGACATGCAAAAAAAAACGACACCCCTTCCCCCTCTCTTAGTGGTCATGTCATAGTTGTCAAAGAGCTGTCAGAACTTTGTTCAAATTTAAATATTTCGACGTTATTTCTATCTTAATAAGTGTTTTTTTTTTATTAATTTGTATAAAAATCATGACAAAGTGTGCCAAAATTAATTGTAAAAATATCTAATTTAAGTTTTCATAAGTAAGTATAAGGAGTGTACTTAGAATTTTTTTTAGAATGCCTAACTTTTTTTTATTATAGGTTTCCAAAAGACCCACAATATCTCAAAATTTGGTCTAAATTTGTGGGAAAAGACCAATTTGAGCCTAAAACGAATAGCATGTTGTGCTCTATTCACTTCAAGGAAGAATTTTTGATAAGAGTGAGTTTAGGGTCAGATTGAATAAGAATGCTGTTCCGACAATAAATGAATGTTTAGTTAGTATACACTTTATTTACAATAAAACTTAAATAACTAACTTAATGAAGAACATTGGCTTGACTAACTTTATAATAAAGACAAACAACTATATTAAAACTTAGATAACTATAATAAAACTTAAAAACCATCTTATAATTAAACTTAAGAACCAACTTATAATTACACTTAAATGACTAACTTTTTAAGTAACACATAATTTAGAATAACATTTCAAGTATTTAAAAGCAGTTTTTATTAGATCCTAATTTCCTATTATTATAGCGTTTTGATAATGAATATACTGTATAATAATAAATACTGGTGATGAATTTTTATTATTTAATTAGATTTGTGGCCATCACTCACTGCTATGTACCTCCATATCCTCATGATATAAAATAATGTGCCCGCTCATGTACCACATTACAATTATTATTAATATTAAATGAACAAACATTAAATTGATGTTCCTTAATTTAAAAACCTGCCGACTTTGTTCACAATACACAATAAATATAATTTAAAACATATTACGAAGTTAACGATATTTAAAAATTAATAGTTTTGGAACTTAAACTAGTAATTTTTGTATCATGGATCTATATTTAAGGCTTTATAACATACCATACACCTCCTCCTCCAAAAATCAGGATCCTATCAAATATTCTTATTAAACCAGCAAATCAAACCAGTCAGATCGAATTACCTGTACCCTCTACTTCTTCTCTAAATATTCCATATGAAGAACCGCTGACGCCAAAGAAACAAAAAATATTACATACACTCTCCTCTGTCCGGGCAACAAGTGCCAAAAGAAAGCAAAAATTAAAATTGCTAAGACGACAACTTTCTCGAAAAGTGAATAAAATTGCCAACTTAAAAAATATATTAAACGATTTAAGTAAAAAACGTTTGATACAGGAAGATGAGTTAGATATAATGTCAAAACTTGGGGGCCCCATCGAGATATGTAGCAGGCAATTAAAAAAAAGTCTAACCTACCATTGCCTAAGAAGTATTCAGAAGAGCTCAAAGTGTTTTCCTTAACTCTCCACTATTACTCACCTGCTGCTTATAATTATGTAAGAAGAACATTTGACACTTGCTTACCACATGTCCGTACAATCAGTCGATGGTTTCAAAGTATAATAGGTGAGCCTGGATTCACAAGTGAGACTTTCAATGCCCTATAGATTAAATCAAATTCTTCCAATGAAAAAATAATTTGTGCACTTATTATGGATGAAATGGCCATTCGTCAACATGAGGAGTTTCTTGGAAGCGAACGTAGAAGTTATGGTTGTGTAGATGTAGGAACGGGTGCAAATGAAACTACGCTTGCAAACAATGCTCTTGTTTTCGTATTAAATTGTGTAAATGGAAGCTGGAAAATTCCAGTAGGATATTTTTTAATTTCAAGTATGACAGGTAAACAGAAAAGGGGGCTGGTATTAGAATGCTTAAAGAAATGTTATGAAGTAGGTGTTAGTGTTGTAAGTTTAACATTTGATGGTGCTTCTAATAATCTAACAATGGCCAAACTCTTGGGCTGTAATTTACATCATACAACTTTAAAAACTAGTTTCAAGCATCCATCAAATAATGAAGAAATTGTTATATTTTTAGATCCGCCACATATGCTAAAGTTAATTAGAAATACTTTAGCAGAAAAGTATTCATTTGTAAATGAAGAAAATAGAATTGTTGAGTGGAAGTATTTCAAACAACTTCACGAATTACAGGAAAATTAATCTTTCCACTTAGCAAATAAGCTAAACTCGCAACATATAGCTTTTAAAAAACAAAAAATGAAAAATTTAATTGTAGAAAATAAGTTTCTAAAATTTTTGCCTTTGTACAAAATTTCACAAAACAATTTAGAATTATTTTTTTGTTCAATACGGTTTCATGGAGGTTTTAACAATAATCCTACAGTCCTACGATTTTGAGAAAGTGAATGTTATTGAAAATGATCATGATTATTTACCAGATCCAGTCTCCTCCTTTTCTAAATATATAATCACATACATTTCTGGATATGTTGTTTATTATTTAAAAAAGAAAATCATTTGGGAACAATGTCTAGATGCTTTAATAAGTAAAACTAGAGATTTGTTTCTATTTTCATTCATTGATATAAAGAATAAAAATGGTTTGCAATATCCATCGGAAGATGTAATAAACATTTGTTTAAAATGTGAAAAAATATTAAAAATTATAAATGACTCTAAGAAAAAAAGTATCAGTTGATATCATTAGCCCATTAGTTTTAAAAGAATAAATTCTAATGTCTTTTCGAATATTATGCAGCACAGTTTGGACCAGTTTGTGTTGGATAATCATAGAATATTATTAATCAAGTGCATAGTTGATAAATATGTTAGTATCCGACTAACATATTTCACTTAAACTAGAGTTAATAAAGCTGCTAGCATAAGACATCAAAACAACAAAATAGTGTTGTTTAAAGGTCAATAAATATTTTTTTAAATAAAAATTTTTTTGTAGTGTCTTATTAATAATGGGACACAGAAAAACTGAAGAGTTACTTATAATTTTACCAAATTTGGCAAAAGTTTTTGATGTATATTATATATTATATATTTTTTGATGTTTTTTAGGTAAATCATATAGGTACTTTTGTTGGGAACTTATAAGAAACTTCAAAATTAAAATGAAGAATATTCGCATTCTAGGCATAGTCTTATTTTTAATCAGACTCTTCAGTTGTTCTGTATCCCTTTCTCAATGAGACACCTTGTATATAAACTTCCCACTTGAACAATTTTATATTTTTCAAGTATGTACAATACAGGTGTATCAGAAATTAAAGCAAAAAGACAACTTATAACAAAGGTTTAAATTTAGTAATGTCAAGTCATCATTGCACCCTAAAAAGGTACCAATGAAGAAATTGTTCCTCCAATGCAACCAAACAGTTATTTTTAGAATAAGATTTTGTGTCAAATGTTATTCACAGCCACAGGGTTTCTTTTTAAATGGCATGACATTCAAAATTTTGGTCAAAACAATTTTCATCATGCACTTTTCTTGGAAATTCACAATGCTTTATTAGGATTAAAAACACCAGTTTCTAGAAACTTTTTCACTATAACACTAACATTACTGATCAGAAAAAGTGGTTAAAGTTTTCTTTTTGTAATCACAAATCGCAACTGAATGCCTATTTTTAAAATAAATTACCTCTTGTTGTTTATTATACATAGGTACCAATTATAGAAATCTTTAGTAAGTACTTGCTTGCAATTTTAGTAATATATGTACCTACCCTATATAATTAATTATTTCAAACATAAATAAAACCAACAACTATCTTTTTAGTCTTTTTAGTTCCGATTGGTTTTGACAGAGTAGTTTTGATCATGGTTTTCTTACTTTTAACCATAAAGTCATACCTAGCTGAATTTTTGGTCTTTTTAAACTTTTCATATTTTTAATGTATGTCATCTGCAGAAGAAAGACCTACATGTTTTACATTCAAAAGTAATTAATTGTCCTTTCTACAAACTCGGCTGTATTTTTACTGAAATATATTTATTCACAATTCACGTAGTGGTTTGGTTTTTGGTTTGGTAATTTGATGTCATAATTCTCCTCATTTTCAGATTTTGACATTGGCAGCTTTGATCAAGACAAGAGAGTCCTTGAACGAAAAATCGTAGTTCGGGTTTTAGTTTTAAAGCACAAAGATATTAACAATTCTGATGCACAGTGATATTCGAACGTTGATTTTCGATCACACAGGACATATATCGGACGGTTTCGGCGAAGACAGAACAATATAATAATATTAATCTTTTTTATGGTCTTGGCATTGGCTTGGTCGGAAAACGGTTAATAAATAATAGTAAATAGTGTAGAAGTCATAATTGCGCAATGTCATCAAATTAATTTCGAATCGATCATGTTGAAACAAATCTTAGGTAAGTAAGTCATTTAAAAGTTGTAATTCTGCATACAGACTTTAATTATATTTGAATACGACCCTGCTTAGTCAACCATTTAAGCCACGTCCAGTGGGGTCATTTTTAATAAAACGTATCATATGCAAAACAATTGCCTCATGGCATCTCCATTGGTATTATACCTCCATGGGTTATATGTGGTAGGATAGAACGATCGAAATAGAAACTAGTATTTTTTTCTCATCACATTCGATATTATATTTTATTTTATCCACTATGACTATGACATTCAATAGTAGTGTTATATTGTTGTTGGTTTTCATTTCTTATTGGCTCAGTTTCCAGTCTTGGTTTCTGTGACTAAAATGTTGATATTTTGATATTCTCGTGTTTTATTTATGCTCAATACCTATGTCAATGGGTTACCTGTTAAAGTATGTTTTTCTGCAATGTTCTGTAAAAGTTTATTTACATTAATTAAAATAAAAATCTAAAATAAATACCGATTTATTTATTAAATAATCACTATTTACAAAATTAAAACATTTATACCTTTATATAATTATTACTGACTCATTCATTTTAGAAAAAAATATTTCGAATATATTCATGTTTAGCAGAACATATTTTTTTATTAATATTCAAAGTTATCCAACCAAGTATTATGGTAAAGTACAATTATTTCCGAGTTTAAAAATTTCGGCGAGATCAAAGATGTGTCTAATCTTATCGAGACACCAGGAATAATATCTTTGAAATGAAATTTATCGTATTGTGATAATGTGTTTTGTATATTAAAATATTTATCCATCAAGTTCTGCATGTTTGATCATGCTGTAGAAAATACCGCCTTCCTTTGCTTTTAATGCTTCTGGTGTGTCAAATTCCATAATTTCACCATTATCCACGACCATCACCTACAAAATATTATATCTTAATTAAAAAAATAAAGGACAAGATATTCCTATGTGTGTATAGCATAATTTAAATCGACCCCGTTTCAAATTATAAAAGAAGGAAACAGAGAACTTAACATCATCATACATTAAGAGCAACATTATTCAGTGTATGTATATCTTTAAGAAAAAAATCAAACCTACAAAGAGATTAGCAATAAAATTATTAAAGGAGAATGACCATTAATATGATTCACTATAATCTATTCCACCAAATTTTTATCTGACATTGTTGACAACGTATTCGAGTGGAAGTAACATGGAGACTACACAAGGAGCACGCACTCCATGTATAACAAGCGTACTGTGTTAAACAGAGTATTTTAAGAGGGCGCTAGTGTTCCATAAGTACCAAAATGGCATAAGAGAATGAAATAAAATAAATAATTCTAATTATTTATTAATTAATTAATTATAACTCTAATTATATTTGTTTAATTTAAAAACATTTGACACGTGTTTACGTTAATTAAATAATCGGTTACTTTATTTTCACGCTAACTTCACATTTGTTTATTCCTCTATATTCACACCGGTACAAAAGAAAAATTAGCGACGCTAGTGGTGAAAAAAGAAAGCTTTATTTATACGATAAAGCGCGGACATACTCTGGCAAATGCCACACTTGAGTGCGTGCTCCTTGTGTAGTCTCCATGGGAAGTAAGCAAAGCGAATTTATCGTTAATTTTCGGTTGCCGGTTGCTGCCGAACAGTACACAAATGAAGAAAGCTTGATTAATTTTTTTAACCGTAATAATTGAACAAAAATTTTACTATTCCATCTTTCTAGCCAATAGATACCTATAACCCTCGTATATAAATCTGTTGTACTAAGATTAGTTTAGAAATCTGATGCAATATGAAAGAAACAATATTTTTTTACCCTGTCGCAATCCAGAACTGTGTTAAGCCTATGAGCAATAGTCAGTACTGTACAATCCGAAAAATTTTCTCGTATTGTCCTTTGTAAAAGCCGGCAGGTTTCTGGGTCCATATTTGCTGTTGCTTCATCTAATACGATTATCTTATTTTTGCTGACCATTGCTCTGGCTAAAGAAATGAGTTGGCGCTGACCAGAACTAAAACAAATAAAGATTTAAGTACATCAGTTCTATATCCATACACAAAAGTAAATTTTACCTATAATTGCTTCCGTTATCAGTAATTTGTTCGTCTAAATTCATAAAGAGCGTTTTCAAATTTACTTTGGTTATTGCAGTCCATAATTCTGAATCTGCATGATTACCTTTTGGATCTAAATTCGACCTTATGCTACCTAAAATATATAAGTAGTAATTGCAAATCAGTAGGTAGATCCTAATTTAGTCATTAAAATCACCTGAAAATAAAATGGGATCCTGAGGAATTATAGCCATTTTGGTCCTCAAACACTCCAAAGAAAGAACCTTAGAATCAATCTCATCTATCAATATCGATCCTTCAATATCGTATAATCGGAATAGCGTAGAGATGATTGAAGATTTTCCAGCTCCCGTTCTTCCTACGATTCCTACTTTTTCTTTAGAATTAATAACGAAACTAATATTTTTTAAAACTTTTTGATGTGAAGTTTCGTATATTAAAGAAACGTTTCTGTATTCTATTTTTCCCTCGAATGGCCAATTATCGTAAAATGAACCTAAAACCGAATATATTTTATAAATAATAATAAATACCATAGTCTAAGAGTCTAGACTATTATGTGTGTACACATTCACAACTAAGTTACCTTGAGTTTTTATTTCTTTCTCTATATCAGTATATTCCAACACTCTCTCTATTCCTGTCATATTGTTTTCCAATTCCGAATAATATCTAATAACCCATTGCACCAATCCCGTAAGGCCCATTGCTTGGGATATGGCCAAACCCACATCACCAGCTTGTGAACCTGTAATAACAGTACAATCACAATCTAGCTAAAAAGGCTTTATGTAATAATATTTACCTTTAAAAATTATAAATTTCGCTATGACAGCCGCCGAAAACATTGTAGAAATCATATCCAAACTGAAAGCAAAGAACCTTCCTGTGCAAGTCACCATATAAGAAGCTGACGTAAAATGATCTTGGTGTCTATCAAATTCTGATATTAGCAGGTCCTGCTTGTCGTAAGCACGAATGGCCGATAGTCCTGATAGGGTTGCATTAAGATAGCCTATCATAGGACTTCTGGCTGAAATTAACGAAAAATAAACCGTTTATTTTAGATTTAGATATTTGAAATTGATAATCTTGAAGGAGTCATTGACATCGGATGTGCTCTATGGTTGTGTACTTACTTGAAGCCTCTAATCTTTTGACTGCTCTACCAGTTGGTATGTAAAATCTTTGAACCATTATTAGTTTGATCATTAAAAATATGGTTGGTACTATGAATATAGTGTTTACAGAGACTACCAAATAAATAATTCCTGCCATCGCTAAGGTATTCTGTAATACAAAAATTAAATTTTACTGTTAGCACAGGATAAAGAACGATACAGAAAAGAAACATAGGGCTAAAACAGGAACCTAGCAACCGAAGCCACACCTTCTTTATGGTGGAGCATTGTCAAAAGTGAATCGTAGATTTGTTACTTGTTTGAAGTGCCACAGTGCACACTTTTGTAACAAATGAACGAAGCTGTCACTACTGTCGCTGTCAATATTTTTTTGCCTGTCGTCTTTATTTGTCGTTTTTGATTTTTGGTTGGTTTTAGCGAATATTCTAATAAATTTTACGTTTTGTTAATGGTTTATTTTTAGTTTTTGTTGCTGTTTTTAATTGTAGAATGTTCATTTAAGACTTTATTTTACGTATTAAGATTAGGTTTATAAACAATGCCGCGTCAAAGAGGAGAAGGCTATACTTGTATTTATCGTGGATGTACCTCAAGAACAGGTGACAATTAAGGATCGTTCACTCTTGTGAAAGATCCAGTAAGGTATGTATGAAACATTGAGTGTGAAATAGGAATTGACCTTGCCATAACATTATAGTACAATGATTGTATGTATTTTTCAGACTTGAATTGTGGCTTAAGGCAGCAAATAGAGAGTACTTATTGGGAAAGAGTGTTGAATACTTAAGTAAACATTACAACATTTGTGAATAATAAGTATCCTTATTACCTATGTAATAAAAAAGAATCTTAAAATAATTCCATTCAAAAATTCTATTTTAATAAAATACATGCATAGATTGTAAACTCATCAATTGTATAAATACACGTTTTTTCTTTTTTCTTTTTTTATTAATAAAATTGCTAAAATACGCTTTAGCTAATGATTTTTTAACAATTATCCCAATTGATTTATACTCATGGATCATAAATGACTAGTGAGATTTGTGGCACAATATTAATAGTTCATTATGACAGGGTAAAATAAATTATTGTTTAAAACTTTATAATTTTCATTTTTGAAACCTCTGTCGGAATTGCTACAAATTGAAAAATATTTTACTTAAATCAAAAATAGTTTAAAATTCATTCATGCAAATTTTCATAAAATATGAGTATCTCTGTGATGAAACTCAAGGTCAAATAGTTCTGTCCCTTCAACTTCAAAGTTCCGACCATTACTTTCTTTTGTGTATTGTTCTTTCTTCTGTGCTGTTAGTTAATATGTATTTTTGGTTTGTATGTATCTATAGTAATGTAATTTTTATTGTTTCATTATTATAAATTGTTATTATATCTGTAAATATGTATAAAGGCACCATCGAGGTGCCAAATCAGAACACATCCAAGCACACAGTTTTGAACTGTGAGTATATTACTTACCCTGAATGTTTCATATGTAATTATTGGAATTGTTTCGTCCATCGTCGTCATATCCTTTGAAAACCTATTAATAATGTTCCCCAATAAATGTTTGTCGAAAAAACTCATGAAAGCGCTCAACACAGAACTCATCATTTTTTTGTGAAGTGTTTTCGATGCTCTCAGAGCGAAATAATAATTCAAATAAATTTTAAGAATGATCAGAAATAGAGCTCCAACAACCATACCCGAATAAATACCTAAGTAATTTTGCCGCTTATTGACGGCTATGTCGTACTCTGTTGTGTTCGTTTGATTAGTCTTGATTAATTCTGTCACTATTGGTTCGTTATTCACCCTTTAAACAAAAGAAATAATGTGAAAAAAGTAGAAACGTTGTAACTAATTAAAACTTACCACCAACTTAATGCTTTTTCCGCGAATGATGAAGCCCCTTGCGTTAATATAAAAAGAATAGTCAAAATGACTAACATAGAAATTCCTCCTGCATGCTTGTAATATCTTAAATATACTCCAATCTTAACTTTTCCTGCTTCTTTCTCCTCGTAATATAAACTCTTCTCCTCGATTTTTTGTTGGTTTTGGATCAACAATTGTGTTTTTTCGTCAACTATGTCTGGTATATCATTCTCGTTTATATCGTTATCTTCGTTGAAGTAATTCATGTCAGTGTCATCGATGTAGTAGGTTATCCTTTTGTCTATAGCTTCCTTCTGCTTTTCTAACGACTGCGTTCTTCCACTTTCGACATAAAGGATGTTGTTTCCATAAACCTGCTTGACGTGGTTGATGTTGTTTGTTACCATTATAACTATTTTATCTAAAAAGTAATTATTATATTGTAAAACACGTGGAGTATTTTAAAACGTTTATTTACAGGAAATACAAATTTATTAAAACAACTATTTTTTTATCTCACTGACAATTCTTTTTCTACTTTTCTAGTGGCAACTCAATATCTACTTTATAGCTACATCTTCCTCCTAGTACCTTAGCTTTACTAGCCAGTTAACTCGTTACAATATATTATCATAATCCAGTTATATTTTGTATTCGGTACAGGGGGAGGCCCGATTAAGTGCTAACAGATTATAAAACACTCTGGGAACACCAAATCAAATGCATATCACAACCTTAGTAATAGGAAATGTGCTAGACATTAGAAGAGATCACATAACCAAGTGTTACTATTTAAACACTCCATTTGAGATTCTAATACCAAATATAATGGAGATCATTATTAAGAAACTCAGTGCCCAACGATAGGAACAAACCTGATATACTGACGAGTTAAGAAAGACACACTGGCAGGAGTATTTTCTAAAAATCCTAACAGAAACCTGCATAAATAAATGAAGATACAAGTGGATAAAGGGCATATGTGTAACATTTTTATTTTAAATGGCGTTTTTCTGTAAATGAAGGTCTTATGTAACTAAAATTCGTGCCAAACAATAAACTTTAACACGAAATATCTCGCAAAAATTATTTTGCTACGTAGGCCCTTTACTCACTTGTGTCTTTTAAATATTTTTTATTATTTTGTGCTGAGGTGTAGGCAATGTGCAGGAACAAATAGTGGAAGAACTGCCAAAAGAAAGCAGATCCGTGCCGTTGAATCATAGAGATGGAATTCTGGAACATTCCTCATCGTCTAGAATCTTCTCGTACAGAGTTGGGCTTGGTATAAATAGCGCGACTTATCGACGGACGAGTAGTTTAGAATAGAGTATTGGACTGAAAAGTTAAATTGTAATAAATAAATCAGAATTGTAAAAAGTGATTTATAGGGATTGCAATATTTATTTTACAACTTATTACACCTGAGACCACGATGAAGAGGTTGGACGAGGAATTCTGATTGGAACTTGTGTACCAGTAACTTCCATAATTCGTCAGACAACAACTTTTGATAATCCCGACGACAAATTTGAGCAAATGATTGCAGTTGCTAGTTAATCTCTGAATTAATTTTAGAAAAAGAAAATAAAGGAATTGTTTCGACGATATCGTGACATTTTTATACCTAAAGGCGGAAAACAGGACGAACTTCTATCGTAAAACATAAAATTGACACTGGCCAAAGGCCAAGAGAGAGGAAGCTGCAAAGATTGTTCAGGAAATGAAGGAAGATATGGTGATAGAACCTTCTACCAGCCCATGGGTTTCTCCGGTAGTCGTGGTCCAGAAAAAGGATGGAACTACGAGATTCTGTATGGATTACCGTCAGTTGAACAATGTTACCAAGAAAGACAGTTACCCTCTGCCTCGTATCGACGATACCTTGGACACATTGGCCGGAAACAAAATATTCTCTACCTTAGACGTGGAAATGGATCCAGTGGACAAATAAAAGACCGTTTTCACCACCGGATCTGGATTGTGTCAATTCAATGTTATGCCATTTGATTATATAATGCCCCACGACATTTGAAAGACTTATGGAAAACGTATTGAGAGGGTTATCCTGGAAAATATGTCTGGTGTATTTAGACGACATAATAGTCTTGTGGAAGACATTTGATGAACATCTAAAAAACTTACAAGATATTTTTAAAAGACTTCAAGCTGCCCAACTGATGCTAAACCCCAAGAAGTACCACCTACTTCAAAATAAAGTTAATTACCTGGGTCATGTAGTTAGCAAAGATGGCGTGGCTGTAGATAAGGAAAAAGTCGCTTTTATCAAAGAGTAGCCACAACCAAAGGATAAACACCAAATAAGAAGTTTTCTTTGGCTTTGTACGTAGTACCGAAGATTCATTAGAAAGTTTGCAGATATTGCTACTCCATTAATACGACTCACAGAAGAATGAAGGGAATTCTGCTGGGATGAAGACTGCCAATTTTTACAGGATTCACTAACTAACTTTTTTAACCAGATCTTGTCCTTTCTAATAAATTTATACTTTTATTTATATCTCTTATATGATTAAAGTGGCACAAAGTTTAATTTTTTTTTATGAGCGCCGTGTGTGGCTCACGGTATTAATAGAGTTGCAGAATGTATTAGATCCCAGTTTCCAATCGTTAATAATTTGATAAGTAACATTAATAAAGTTTTTCTTATATCTCCATTAAAAATCCAATCCAATCCAATCGCCAAAACCGGTAATAACCCGGTTGGGCACATGGCTTGATGCAGCTTTATTTTTTTTACGAATCAATCAAAAAAGGAATTCTTCATTTAACAGATTCTTCAGATGCTCTTTCTGAGTTTAAAGAGTTATTTAAAAATGAACAACTACCACATCAACTTGTTTCCATAAAATCAAATTATTCCTTTGTGTCAAAAGTCCTTGTGCAATTACAAAATACAACTGTATCTTTAGTTTAAACACTTGAATTAATAGAAAATGCGGCAAAAGCATTTAAAGAGGGAAAAGTTATTTTAAATAGATATTAAGCAGTGTTAGAAAAAAATGAGTGGTTTAAAATTTAAAAAAAGTTTCGAAACTATTGTCGAGAGACTTTGTATCAAACAGGGAAATCAATTTAAATATTCTACCCCATTTTAATTATGTCCCTATTACTATTACATCTGTAGACTAAAACAAAGATTTTCGGTTGTATAAACATGTATACGGGTAAAAGATAATACTTTCTTGTAAAAAATATTGAAAATGTCTAGTTATTATTAATGTTACATTTTTATATTTTTTGGTACATTTTTTCGGTTCTTGGTGATAAAATATTGCTCATGTCTGTTTTAAATCGTTATTAAGCATATTTAACCTGGTATAATATTTTAAAAGCCAAATGGTTTACTAACGTTACAAGTGGCGTGTAATAATAAAAATAATACCTTTTAAAAATCCCATAATACACTTCTTGAAAATATATCCATTGACTTTGCTATCTAAAGACGATAAACAATCATCCAGTAAGTAAATATCGCTGTTTCTATACACAGCTCTTGCTAAATTGATCCTAGCTTGTTGTCCTTTACTAAAATTGACACCACCATCACCAACAATAGTTTGGTCGCCTTTCTCCAATCGTCTCAGATCTACAGTTAGAGCGCAAACATTCAGAACTTCATTGTACCGTTTCTCGTCGTATTCCTGACCGAAAAGAATGTTTTGTTTGATGGTACTGGGAAACAACCATGGTTCTTCTGATGCGTAGGAAACGGTGCCGTCTATCAACATTTGACCGTCAGTAACAGGATATTCTCCTAGCAAAGTTTTGATTATCGAGCTTTTACCACTACCTACATTACCGGTGACTAAAAGAACTCCTTTTTCTAGATTGAATGATACGTCTTTCAGTACTTCTGTTTCTTTAATTTTGCTGGCAACATGTTTCATGAATACTTTTGGAGATTTTGCATTGTTGATTGTTTGCACTACTTCTTCAGCCATTAGAAATTCTGTTATTCTCTTTAAGGAAGCGCGTAGATCTGAATATTGGGCTATTCCGACTGGTATAGTTATCAGAATGTACATTCTTAGGTTTCGGTAGCTTTCTTGGATATAATATATGGTTTCGGCGTCTGTGTAATGGCCGGTCAAGATATAGGTTAATATCATCAGGAAGAAAGTCAAACTTGTTGCTGTAGATGCTACGACGAGAATCACTACTTTCAAATAGTATACAGGAGATAGATAATTAATTTCTGATCTAAAAAATATTGTTTTTTTGTTATACGACTTATTAAATGTAACATAAAATAAATTATAAAAAGCGAATTAGGTTTTAAAGTATTTACTTACTGTCTAAGTTCTTTTAATTTGTCGCCAAAGAAATTTTCCCAACTAAACATTTTGATGGTTTTGATGTTTTTTAATGTTTCAGTTGTCAACTGAATTCTTTCGTCTGTTTTTTTAGCAGCTTGCATTCTTTTAACGCTAATTTGTCTGCCGACAAAAACTGAAAAAATTAAAAATATATATTTTTAGAATCTATATACCAACAAATATCGTCTAATACTTTAAGTAACACTGTAGTACAACTTTAATTTGGACAAAAGCTCAATTGATGTTTGTGAAATATGGAAAACAAATTGTTTATTAACAAATAGAGGATGTAAAATCGTTATTTTGACACAATCACCTCTACTCAAATGTCATTTGTCGTTTATGCCTTGTGTCAAAAGTTTGTGTCATTTAATTTGAGTATATCAACCAGATCATATTCATTTTAATATCTTGGTTCATCCTATGTACTAATTGATTTTTATCTATCGTAAATTCCGTCTAAGTTTATAAAGTAAGTTTTAATACTAATATATTGTTGAAAATATATATTTTGTACAAGGATTTCTTATTTAAATTGTTAAGTATTGACAATAACAATAATCTCAATATCAACAATGGATAACACATGTTCGTTTAATATTAACTTATATATTATTTTTTTGGAATAATATATTATGCTTTACTATGTTTAAATATGTTAAATAAGATTTTTCCTTTTCATATTAATTTTAGTCTGTGAAATTATTCATTTAATAGTTTTAAATTGTTCATTTACTAGTTAAAGCATTTTATCTAAATCCTGTACAAATTTCCTATTTCCTGTCTTAACATTTTAACCCTTTCTTTTTAGCATGGCTATCTTTTGTTATCACTATGGCTACAAAAATAAAACAGTAGTGAATTGTCCTAATTGTTTAAAAAACGGACTACAGGCTGTACGTCAAGGTGTGGCTACGGGCCGCAGTCTTACAAATGTTCAAAATTTACCAGGACCATCTCAAAACAACAATTCACAAGGTACAAAATACAGGAAATAAAATTAACTTCTATAGCAGAATGGAAACAGTATCTATCTTTTGTAAAAAATATTTCCTTAATAAAATATCTAACTCCAGTGCCATGCCTAAGAAAATTTCTTATACCTTTAAAAATGATAGTGTTTTAATTAATTACAGTATCTCACCATCTCTAATAGTAGAGGATGGGTCAAACATACAGGTTGTTTCTCTAAACCAGTGATCGCCAACCTGTCGATCGCGAGCTACCGGTAGCTCGCGGAGGCAATTCTGGTAGCTCTCACAATGATTTTAATTTAAAAAATACTAACTGCAAAAATCATAGAAGCTTCCGAAAATTCCACAAAAAAATCTAATTGTCATAATATTAAACATAAACAGCGGCAACGTTGCGGTGCGCGATCTGCCGCTGACGCCATCAAGCTAGAATCGGCTAGAACCGACCAGCCGGACCAGCGCGTTAGTGTTCGAGAACGATCAGGATTGCTTTGAACGGGATAAATACGCACGGCGCGGCGACACTGCGATTAATCTAAAACTGAACGCGTAACCAACGTTCAGCGGTTGGGTTAGTAGAGAACAACAAAAAATAATATTATAGCAAGCAGTTGTAAGAAGGTAAAGACATACCACTTTCATTCGGAATGGGAAGAACAATACTTTTTTACAGAAGTTAAAGATAAAAATGTGTGTTTGTTATGTAATACTTCGGTCTCCGTTGCTAAAAAAGGAAATATTGAAAGACATCAAAAAACTGTACATTATAATTTTGAAAAATCATTCCCACTACATTCTGCCGCCAGAAAGGAGAAACTGAAACAGTTAAAAAAGCAGTTAATTGGACAACAATCAATATTTTTAAGAACAGTCGACAAAAATAAGGCTGCAACTGAAGCATCGTACCGTGTGTCCCAGATAATTGCACAAAAAAAGAAACCTTATGAAGACGGGGAAATGATAAAACAGGCGTTTTTAGAAGCTGCTGATTCGTTATTTGCCAACTTTAGAAATGAAGACGAGATAGTTTCAGCTATAAAATCTATGCAACTTTCTGCTAATACAGTGATGAGACGTGTAGAAGTAATGAGCAATGATATTTTTTTACAGTTAAGAACTGACTTAGATAACTGTGTTTATTTTTCACTTCAACTGGATGAATCAACAGATGTCGATGACACTGCCCAGATGGCCGTGTTCGTCAGGATGGTTTTTAGTGATTTTACGATTAAAGAAGATCTTTTGAAGTTTATTCCACTGAAAGGACACACTATTGGACAAGAGTTGTTTTCTCATTTAAAAAATATTATTTCTTCCGAGAAAATTCCAATATCGAAAATGGTAGACTTGACAACCGATGGCGCTCCAGCTATGGTGGGTTGTGATAAGGGTCTGGTGGCGTTATGTCGTAAAGATGAAATTTTTCCGAAATTTCTCTGTTACCACTGCATTATCCATCAGCAAGCATTATGTGTAAATTTCCTGAAACTAAACAACGTTATGAAACTGGTGGTGAAAATTGTGAACAAGATTAGAGCTCAAGCGTTACAAAGAAGATTATTCAAAACCTTAGCCGATGAAGTTGACTGTCAATACGGGGACCTACTCCTTCACTCTGAAGTCCGATGGTTAAGTAGAGGACGGGTGCTGAAACGTTTTAATGATGTCCTATCTGGCATAGTTCAATTTTTCAAACAACGCGATGAACCGACTCCGGAACTAGAAAATTCAATCTGGCTAGAGATTTTGGTTTTCTCGTGGACATTACAGAGAAATTAAACGAACTTAATTTGCAGCTTCAGGGGAGAGACAAAGAACTAGCGAAAATGATTTCTGATATAAAAGCATTTATCAAAAAGCTGGAGTTTTGGGAACAAAACCTAATTAACAGCAATGCCAAGCATTTTCCTATTCTTTCAGAAAAAATATCTTAAAATCCATTAGAACCCTATTACAGCAAATATCATGTAGAAATAGTTTCTACCCTGAAGAATAACTTCAAAAATCGTTTTAAGGATTTCAACGAAATGGCTTTAGTAGCGCAGTTTGTTGTTTCACCCTTTATGGAAATTGATATCCAACAGTTTGCAACTTGTGTTATGCAGAACTTTGGCGAAGACATCGCTGCAACAGAAATGGAAGTGATTGAGTTTCAAAATGATTTAGCCTTAAAATCGTTAGTCTCAAGTGCCAAATGTATCTGGCCTATTGTAAGTAAAGACAAATATTCAGTTCTATGCCGTGTTGCTTGAAAGTGAAAGCATTATTCAGTTCAACCTATCGGTGTGAATCTTCGTTTTCCAATATGAAGTTTATTAAGAACAAATATCGCAATCGACTTACAGATGAACATTTGGATAATTGTATTCAAATGGCTGCATCAAATTATACTGCAAACATTAAAAAAATTATCGATTAGTCTGAGTGTCAGCCTTCTCATTGAACGTGTTTTTTATTTTTCAATGTTTATGTTCATGATAGTGCGTTACTTTTTTGTTGTTATTATTAACTATTTTTAAATCTTACGTAACATGCCGTTGTGGCTGGATAAAAGTTTGTGTTTATTTTTCAAACACCTTCGTTTGGTAGGTAGGAATGTAGCTATGAACAAGTACTTACTAGTAATATTAGTTATTTTGTTATTAGTTTATTATTAGTACCTATGTATTATGTATTACCAGTTAAATAGTAAAATAAATACATATAATGATAAATTAACTGTGGATTATTTCATTTACGTTGCGTTACGTGGCTTCCGTGCGGGTAGCTCGCTGTTTATTCCAAAATTAACAAAGTAGCTCAACACATTGAGAGGTTGGCGACCACTGCTCTAAACAATAAGTCAAGTCCATTATTTTTTAAGAAAGTAAATGATAATAGGCCACATTTAAAGGTTAAAATAAACAATATTGAAATATTAGCTTTAGTAGATACGGGTTCTAATTTAACAATTTTAGGTCAACAAGCTTTTAATATTATCCATAAAATAAATACACTTATTTTATATGATGATGACTTACGTGTAACTACTGCTGATGGGGTTTCACAAAATGAATTAGGTTTTATAAATGTGCCTGTCAATGTTGATGATATTACAAAAACTTTGAGAATTTTGCTTATACCTACAGTAAAACATAATTTAATTTTGGGAATAGACTTTTTAAATTTATTTAATATTGATATTAGATGTGGTGAGTTTTCATATTGTTTATTATTATCATTATGTGCTATAAATTCTGTACAAACAATGTCAAATATGTCTTTTGAACAAAAATCTAAACTTAATGGAGTGGTAGATCTTTTTTCTACTATAGCTCCAAAAGATTCTTTAGGATGTACACATTTAATTAAACATGATATTGATACTGGGGATATAAAATCAATTTTTATGATTTTCTACTACACTTAGGTATCATACTGATTTACTACTACAATAAGGTATTATACAACCATCTGTTTCTCCTTGGTCCAGTCCACTTTGGATAGTTGATAAGAAAACTAGTACCGAAAAAAGATTATGTTTAGATAGTAGACGTTTGAATCAACACACTGTTTCTGATAGTTATCCTATGCATTTAGTGGACTCAATATTGAGTAAACTTAGAGATGCTAAATTTCTTACCTCCACTGATCTTCGAAAGGCTTTTCTACAGATTTTAGTGGTTTTCTATATATTTTTATCACTAATCTAAAGTCAAGTATAGTAAGCTTTAAATATAGTGGTGCCCAACTTCTTTTTCAAATTTATTTTAGTTATTTAATAACCTAACCCACGCCCAATTAATTGAGCACATTATACAAATAAATAGAATAACTAGAGATCACGTTACAAAATATGGTTGTAGAGCATTTTGAATATACCGGGTGTTTTGAGAACAAAGTAGCGTAAACTGAGTGACTGTATTTAATGTCTACTTACGTTGCATAGGAATAATGATCAAATAAAATCCCATTCCTCCGAAAACTGAAAGTCCTATTCTTTGATAAATAATGACGGTTATAACTATAATATGTATGATACCAATCCACATGTCGTTCACATAAATCAAAGCAGCGTCGAAAAGAAAAACGTCTTTAGTGATAAGGGTCACTATTTTTCCCATGGTGACGTTTGATAAAGGTCCCAGTTTCAGAGCTTTCCTGTAAATTAGAGCTGCTACTGCCGTTCTTGCTCTAATACAATACTCAGTTAGAAATTGTTGATAATTGTGGTCATAAATTGAATTAAATATGTTCAATCCAATTAGAATACAGGCATACATATAAAGATCACTGTCCGTTACCACTTTTTGGTTGGGCTGAAAATAGGCCACTACCGTGGCGAAAACCATGGGCTGGACAAATCTACAAAAAAAATTATTACATGTTAATTATTAGATTAAAGATATTACAAACGTGTCGAACGAAACAGCTTCGAGAACAAGCAGGATGAGCTAGTAAAAGTTATGGCCAATAAACCAAAAGGAGATATTAATGAAATGTAAAACGAGGTTAACAAACTTTTTCGAATCATCCCTAAACTGAAATACAAGACTAAATAACCTCTCAATATGCTGAGGCTCTCATTCAGGCATGATGATAGTATTGATAAAATATATGGTATAACAAATATACTTGGAATTTACGTAAAAATCTAATCTTTAAGAAAATCGCGACTTATGCCAGATCGTTGATATTTAAACCTTCTTTCTCTAACACCGACTAAAAAAAATTAGTCAAGCCTTCACCCGACTCATAATTTATAATAGGACAAAATAATAAAAAATGTTCTTCTATACCAGTGGTCGCCAACCTCTCAATGTGTTGAGCTACTTTGTTAATTTTGGAATAAACAGCGAGCTACCCACAAGGAAGCCACGTAACGCAACGTAAATGAAATAATCCACAGTTAATTTATCGTTATATGTATTTATTTTACTATTTAACTGGTAATACATAATACATAGGTACTAATAATAAACTAATAACAAAATAACTAATATTACTAATACGTACTTGTTCATAGCTACATTCCTATCTACCAAACGAAGGTGTTTGAAAAATAAACACAAACTTTTATCCAGCCACAACGGCATGTCATGTAAGATATAAAACTAGTTCATAATAACAACAAAAAAGTAACGCACTATCATGAACATAAACATTGAAAAATAAAAAAGCACGTTCAATGAGAAGGCTGACACTCAGACTCATCGATAATTTTTTTAATGTTTGCAGTATAATTTGATACAGCCATTCGAATACAATTATCCAAATGTTCATCTGTAAGTCGATTGCGATATTTGTTCTTAATAAACTGCATATTGGAAAAAGAAGATTCACACAAATAGGTTGAACTGAATAATGCTTTCACTTTCAAGGCAATACGGCATAGAACTGAATATTTGTGTTTACTTACAATAGGCCAGATACATTTGGTACTTGAGACTAACGATTTTAAGGCTAAATCATTTTGAAACTCAATTACTTCCATTTCTGTTGCAGCGATGTCTTCGCCAAAGTTCTGCATAACACAAGTTGCAAACTGTTGGATATCAATTTCCATAAAGGGTGAAACAACAAACTGCGCTACTAAGGCCATTTCGTTGAAATCCTTAAAACGATTTTTGAAGTTATTCTTCAGGGTAGAAAGTATTTCTACATGATATTTGTTGTCATAGGGTTCTAATGGATTTTGAGATATTTTTTCTGAAAGAAAAGGAAATTGCTTGGCATCGCTGTTAATTAGGTTTTGTTTCCAAAACTCCAGCTTTTTGATAAATGCTTTTATATCAGAAATCATTTCCGCTAGTTCTTTGTCTCTCCCCTGAAGCTGCAAATTAAGTTAGTTTAATTTCTCTGTAATGTCCTCGAGAAAACCAAAATCTCTAAGACATATTGAATTTTCTAGTTCCGGAGTCGGTTCATCGCGTTGTTTGAAAAATTGAACTATGCCAGATAGGACATCATTAAAACGTTTCAGCACCCGTCCTCTACTTAACCATCGGACTTCAGAGTGAAGGAGTAGGTCCCCGTATTGACAGTCAACTTCATCGGCCAAGGTTTTGAATAATCTTCTTTGTAACGCTTGAGCTCTAATCTTGTTCACAATTTTTACCACCAGTTTCATAACGTTGTTTAGTTTCAGGAAATTCCCACATAATGCTTGCTGATGGATAATGCAGTGGTAACAGAGAAATTGCAGAAAAGTTTCATCTTTACGACATAACGCCATCAGACCCTTATCACAACCCATCATAGCTGGAGCGCCATCGGTTGTCAAGCCTACCATTTTCGATATTGGAATTTTCTAGGAAGAAATAATATTTTTTAAATGAGAAAATAACTCCTGTCCAATAGTGTGTCCTTTCAGTGGAATAAACTTCAAAAGATCTTCTTTAATCGTAAAATCACTAAAAACCATCCTGACGAACACAGCATCTGGGCAGTGTCAACGACATCTGTTGATTCATCCAGTTGAAGTGAAAAATAAACACGGTTATCTAAGACAGTTCTTAACTGTAAAAAAATATCATTGCTCATTACTTCTACACGTCTCATCACTGTATTAGCAGAAAGTTGCATAGATTTTATAGCTGAAACTATCTCGTCTTTATTTCTAAAGTTGGCAAATAACGAATCACCAGCTTCTAAAAACGCCTGTTTTATCATTTCCCCGTCTTCATAAGGTTTCTTTTTTTGTGCAATTATCTGGGACACACGGTACGATGCTTCAGTTGCAGCCTTATTTTTGTCGACTGTTCTTAAAAATATTGATTGTTGTCCAATTAACTGCTTTTTTAACTGTTTCAGTCTCTCCTTTCTGGTGGCAGAATGTAGTGGGAATGATTTTTCAAAATTAGAATGTACAGTTTTATGATGTCTCTCAATATTTCCTTTTTTAGCAACGGAGACCGAAGTATTACATAACAGACACACATTTTTATCTTTAACTTCTGTAAAAAAGTATTGTTCTTCCCATTCCGAATGAAAGTGGTATGTCTTTACCTTCTTACAACTGCTTACCATAATATTATTTTTTGTTGTTCTCTACTAACCCAACCGCTGGACGTTGGTTACGCGTTCAGTTTTAAACTAAGCGCAATGTCGCCGCGCCGTGCGTATTTATCCCGTTCAAAGCAATCCTGATCGTTCTCGAACACTAACGCGCTGGTCCGGCTGGTCGGTTCTAGCCGATTCTAGCTTGATGGCGTCAGCGGCAGATCGCTCACCGCAACGTTGCCTCTGTTTATGTTTAATATTATGACAATTAGATTTTTTTGTGGAATTTTCGGAAGCTTCTCTGATTTTTGCAGTTTGTACTTTTTAAATTAAAATTGTTGTGAGTGCTACCAGAATTGCCTCCGCGAGCTACCGGTAGCTCGCGATCGACAGGTTGACGACCACTATACTACACTTTTGACGTATGGGGATACAACTCGCGATACGCCTCACATTTCTACTGTTAGACAATGAGTATAAAGGGATTAACACTCGTGATATATTGCCTTAGTTACTAGAGCTTGATTCTGAAACAAGTGATGCTGAATCTTTAAAATGCAAACTTGAAGAGTGTCAAACTTGAAGAGTGTAGTAGGCAAATTTGACTTGTTCCTATTTGGTAATAAGGAATCTATCTTAGTAAACTGGGACTAGTAGAAGAGTGAGTGCAGATTCTGTGAAGAAAAAGAATATACCTCCATTTAGTACCTCAGAATTCCAACGGCAATAGCATACAAAATAGAGGCTGATTTAGCCAATTTAAAGCCACTTGAAACTCTACATTTTCTAATAACAAAAAAATTAGGTTACCTATTTTAATTTTCTACTTACATTAATACTGTTTTGACAACAAATTGGATTATTCCCAAAAACAGGATTCCTTTCCCGAATGACATTATCAACGCTCTAGTGAGGGAGGGATTTTCGTTTTTCTTTTTTTGCGTGGTCCACGTATCTTCAAGTTCATTTCCCAGTTTTTCCGATGACAGCCAGGAGGGTATTTCGTAAATATCCTCATCTTCGAGGGCCTTTTTTCTACCCTTTTTGAATAGACGGAAAGTGTAACTAAAATTAGTAAAATTAATATTTTTCATAAAATTTAAAAATTTGTGTTTTGGTAGGGTAATTTTTTATGTTTATTGGGATATTTTATAACATGTTTGTATTACCTAGATATATAATACCCATATTATTGAATATTCAAATAATATATTCATCAGGCTAATGGCCTTAGTAGTAGATGCCGATGACACCAAATTAATATATTCATCTCACATAAAATCAAAGTATGTGTCCCACATACTTTGATTACTATACGGTGCAAGAGAGAGGTCCGACACGCCCAACATAGGGCGCGGCAAAGGGCGTGGCCATTTTGATGCATTTACCACAGTTTATAGCTTAAGAATCAGTTCGCTCACTCTGCGTCGGCACTTTTGATCTCAATGTTCCAGCACAGCTTATACAATACAGCTCCACAACTCCGTGTCGGCGTCTTTGATCTGGCGGTCGAGAACCAAGCAAGACGGAATGGTGCTATCTCTGTTAGATTCGAGGGAAAAGTCGGGCCCGGATTAAACAATTTTTTTATTATTGAAAAAATTGAAAACATTGGCATAATAAGGTTGGTTACATGCCATATTAAGTAAGTTTTGGGAAATTAAATTTTTAATTTGTTTTAAATCTGTCAAATATAATTAAAAAAATTATTTAAATATAAATATTACGAAAAATAGCACATCTTTTGGATTAGAGGTAAAATAATTTGTATGTGGCTAGTAAAATCCTCGTTAACAAATGTTTTGACCTAAAACAGTCACTTCACGACAAATTGTGTCTTGGATCCTTTTTACACCAAGGGCTTCAATTGTTAAAGAATTTTGTCACGCTCGTGGATGCAAATAAAGTGGTACCCCGTGTGTCTGGCAAGTGTTACTCTTCGCGCAAAGGGTTTATACCTAGATAAACAAAGCTTCGACTGAGGTCTGGGAACTCTATGGTATTTTGGAATTATAAAGAATTTGTGCTTTTATTTTAACAATATTGGTTATATTTAGATGTATTCTTATTAATTGAAATACAGATATGTAGAAGTAATACTTTGACAGTTTTTATTAATATTATATATTCAATTTTTATCTGACCATACCGAAGTAGGGAATTTTGTAACTTTATAATAATGTGAAATTTGAATTACAATATTATACGAAATTACATAATTTGTAGGTACTTATTTTAGGTAGGTACTAAATTTGTACTTGGAGAAAGTAATATCGATTTTTACAAGAAAACTTGAAAAGTAAATTAATTTAGTTCCTATTTCTGATGTAAAACTTAAACCAAGAAAACAAATAAATAGTAGTTTGTTCAACAAGGGTGGGATATGATAGCCATATCACACAAAGACGAAGTTTGAGCACGACGTCGTAGATGGAGTACTCATTCGTCTGATTGTGATATGAACAATCCACTCGATATGGTCAGTATATTTTTTCTACGACCCATTAACGAAAATCTACAAATTTAAAAAATTATTTTAGGTTATTTAGACAAAATAACTAATATTAAAATAATTTACGAAGTTGACTAATTTATAAAATAAAATAAACATGAAAAATTAATTAGTCCTCGGCCTAGATTCGATCCCGGGCTTTTCGCGTGGAAGGCAGATGCTCTGTCCTCATCTTCACCGAAACTTTCAGGACTTTTGTTTTAATACTCGTAATTAAATTAGTATCATGTAGTTTGATTAAAATTTTTTTTTTTAAATGTTGGACAATAAAAACAAAAATGCTATTATTTATCGAGTCTACACAAAAATTTTAATGTATATTTAATATCAATAACTAAAATATATATTGACAATTAGTTTAACAGAATTGTCACTTATTTAAAAAAATTTAAATAATAGGAGTTGGGTGACCAAAATATGAACTGTGATTTGTAGATTTAATTTTGTTAAATTGTTCTCACTACCTAAAATGGATATGAAATATATTCGTAGTTGAACGCAATAGCATACTTTTTCGTTTTGTAGTATGTGCGTAGATTGGCTAATATCCATGCACAGATTACAAAACGAAAAAGTATGCTATTGCCTTCAATTGAACGAATATATTTCATATCCATTCTAGGTAGTGAGAACACTGCAAAAAAAAATTCGCCAATCGCCGTTCATATTTTGATCGACCGACTGCTATTATTTTTAAAATTTTAAATAAATGACAATTCTGTCAAACTAATTGTCAGTATATTTTTTAGTTATTGAGATTAAACATACATTAAAATGGGTTATTCTTTTGGAAAACGTTAGCATGGATGACTAAAGGGTATTGGGTTAATTAATTCTAAAAGTGTGGTACAAATGTTATTTTTTGTAGCCAATTCTTCAAAATTATTAGGAAATATCTTTTCAATATTGAATATTAGTTCTACAAATTCATCATTTCACAGTTGCAGATTTCCAAATGTATCTGAATTGGCGTTATCATATGCCTTTAAAAAGCAATAAAAAGAAAAATCATCTAATTCAACGTGATCTTTGTTATATTTAGGACAGGTATCACAGGAGTGCATCCGCAAGGCTTTTATTAAAAGGTAACCACATACATACCTGATAAAAATTTTTTGTAGCAACTTGTCTTTACAATAATTTAGAGTGTTAATAATTTCATCATAAAATAAAATACAAAGTGTTCCATTTAAAAAACATACATTTTAATTTGCTAGGCAAAAACGTGACACCCTGTATATCCAAAGATATTTTTAAAATATGTAGGTATTTTTCAAATCCATATAACTTTTATTTAAAACTTTTTTGCGTTTCTACAACAAAATATTGAACAATAACGCATTAATGGGACACCCTGTATAAATTATATTTTTAACAATGAAAATTTCTTATAATGTGGTACTTATCGGTTTGGGTCCTTGGAAAAACTAAAGAATGTTTTCTTGCAGGTATAACCCTTATTAAAACAGCTTTTGACTGCACAAACAGAATTATGTCTTTTTTTTCACTCATTCTACTAACAGCTAAAGAGTCACCAAAATAATAACAGTACCTTTAACTCAAACAAAATCAACGAAATTATAGGCTCCACGAAATTATACAATCAACGAAATTATACGCACGACTCAACACCTTACCTAAGTACGCTTCTGAACGCCAAAACCGTCTTTTCTCTCCAAAGGCGGAGCTTAAGCGATGCGCGACGAAATCGACGCAAACCGTTGCCGCCAAGAGAGTGTTTTAGCTGTATTGTATAAGCTGTGGTTCCAGTTTATACACTGCGCAACTCGGATAATACAATATGTGATAAGCGCCTATAATAAAACAGCAGTCTTCTGTGCATCCTGAATTTGTATCCCTGGAGTGGATGTTATTTTGGAACTTTCAACTGGTCCGAGTGAGCTAACTGATTCTTTAGCAATAAACTGTGACTCGAAAAATAATATTCACTGACACTGACAGCAGCAATTACGCCAAGATGTAGGCACTCAGAAAGCTGCGCAGTGCGACCATTCTTCGTGTAGTAAGAGAATCAAAGTATGTGATTCATCCACTAAATTAGCGTGACATCATTTTCAGTCTGTCCAGCATTCGATTTTTTTATTTATTTACGAGCAACCCCATTTGAGAAATAAATTACAATTTTAAATTACATAGACTAAAATAGATGAAGAATTTAAAAGATTTAAAAAGACAAAAGACAATAACTACGTCCAATTGATGTCAGGGCAATGAAAAGGCCGACGAATTAGCCTGAGAAGGCTCAGATAAGGCCATGACAGGCTCCGAACCCTTCTGTGCAGTTGCATAGGCATTGTGCGAGACATCCACCAAACAATGCATGTAAATAGATTGGTGGAACAACTGTTTAAGACTTATACAGGCCAAACCGTTAATCAAGGAACCATCGGCCAAGTTCACGAAAGACCTACTGAATCAGAAACGTCAAATCGTTAGGATAACAGTAAGTTTTCTTACCGGACACTGTTGTCTAACAAAGCACAAGAGTATTATCAATCCAGCTGAATAAACAAAATTGTGTAGGATCTGTGTCAATGTGAGAGCCTGGCTAGATTAAAATTTTCAACATTAGGCGAAGAAAAGCCAAACGCATGGAACTACACTGTCTAACAAAAAAGACCAAGCTAGACGACATACTCTAAAAAACGAAGTCCCACAAAGGATCTAAAAAGGTCTCAATGTACAAGGACAAATAATGTCTAACTACTTTCAAATCTAATCTAAAATGATATTTTAATATTTTGGTAAAAATTTGATGTTCTCGCAGTCATATCAATTGCTTTAAGTACTCATCCTTCAACTCGTCAAGCGATACATATTTAGCCTTAAGCCTTGTTCAGTGTAGGAGCGTTGCGTGATAGCGTTGCGTAGCGACGTGTCGTCAGTAAAACAACCTAGTGTTGCTAAATGCAAACTTTCAGAATGAGAGCGTCCAGCGATGCGATATCACTACGCTTTCCGCTTCTAATCTGAACAAGGCTTTACATTTTTTCGACACATATTACAGAAGAATTAGATGAAGCTTCATCTGCGGAAGATTCCTCTAGCGGTATTGTGCTATTTTTATTTTATTTTTATCGTAATAATTGCATTTTTATCTAAATTACTAGAACTCTTTACACATTGTTTCTACACAAACAAAAAAAAAATATTATTAAATTAATTTTTGTACTTACAAGAACGTGATCAAGGATAATATCGAACATTTTGTTCTAGGATTCTGTTCCTTTTCGTTTCTTCTATAGGGATCCATGTTTTAAAGGCAAATGACAAAACCATTGTACTCAATTTACAATAGATAAATAGATAAATCACTTGAAATTTATCAGTGTTACTTGAGATAATACACTTGGGTACTCTCAAGTTATACGAGGTCTGAATTATAAGGGTCAATTTGTGCATTCAGAAATATCCTACAGAATCTACAAATACAATAAATACACTTAAAAAAAATCCTAAACAACGTAATTTTTGTTAATCAAAATATTTGGCTTAGACCGTCTCTGGCATTTACGGAAATTAACACATATGTACTTTGATTACTATACGAGGCAAGAGAGAGGTCCGACACGCCCAACATAGGGCGCGGCCATTTTGAACACTGTGACACAGTTTACAGCTAAAGAATCAGATCGCTCACTCTGCGTCGGCACTTTTGATCTCAATGTTTCAGTTTATACACTGTACAACTCGGATAATACAATATATGACAACCGCCTACAATAAAACAGCAGTCTCCTGAATTTGTATCCCTGGAGTGGATGTTATTTTGGAACTTTCAACTGGTCCGAGTGAGCTAACTGATTCTTTAGCAATAAACTGTGACTTCAAAAATAATATTCACTGACACTGACAGCAGCAAGCAAAATATCAGGTGCGTTTTAATCATCCGCTTCTGCTTCCGGAATTGTCGGTTTAGTTGTTTTAACCTGTCAGATTAAAACAAGAAAATCGACAATTCCGAAGCAGAAGCGGATGATTAAAACGCACCTATTAAAAATATTGCGCCAAGATGTAGGCAACACGTAATGAGGATTCAAAATGGCGGAGTTTTCTATCTCCTTTTAAAAGGCACTCAGAAAGCTGCGCAGTGCGACCATTCTCCGTATAGTAAAAGAAAATCAAAGTATGTGAGCACCAACCACAAATTGTTAATAGACACTATCACGTGAACGCTTGTTCGTAAATAGTTGGTTGATTCTGTCGACGCAAAGAGTTACCTTTTTTTACAATTTGGCTTGTTTCGCCATGTTGAAATTTTTTATTTTTAGTTAATTTTACTTCAATAAGTGTACAAATGTAGTGTAAATCGGTGATATTAAACTTATAATTCAAGAACGAATTTTTAACCTTTCGTCCACACTACAATGGTTCTTTTACTATCGGAATAAAAAATTGTACTTCCTAATTTTGATCCTTACATCGTCAAATACTTCAACATAATCTGCGTTTCTATTAAAGATCGTCTCGCATTATGTTAACACTTTCAAATAAAGTCAATTCATATTAACTATTTTTCTAGAAAAATAAACAAAGGTACCTCAGGTCATAGAGACAGGGCTAGGATACTTATTTGGGACGTTTCTGCCAGCGGGTCTAAAGTCTGTGATCAATTTTACTCTAATAAGTGTACAAATGTAGTATAGTTGAGTGGTGTTAAAGTTATAAAACGGGATTCAAGATTAAAAAGAGTTAAGAAGCCAGTCGAGCTTCGTACTCTCCATTCTGTTGAAGAAATTTTATAAAATGTAGACAACTATTTCACCTTTATCACAAAGGGCTTAGAAATAAGAAATAAACTAGATAGACTTTTATAAAGCTTCCGAGAAAATTGATTTAATTCAAGAAGCTTTCCTCCGCAGCTTCAAGCACTTAGCTACATCTGCAGTTGTCTTAATCTGATGTTATGTGGACATCAGTATGATCAGTGGCGGGCTCGTAGGGAGTTCTGCAGGGATCAATTTTGGGGACCTCTTTTATTCAACATTAGCTTGTATGATAATGTAAACATCAATGATATAAAAGTTTTAATGACCTAAATATTTACTTAATAAACATATTATGTCTGAAAACGTATATTAAGAGCGGTACCTACACCCTTTCGAAGGGGGTTGAAGGCAAATCACGATAAATGACATAACAACTGTCATTCTCCGTGTTGTAAAGCGAATAATTATATACAGGGTTATTCAATATTACATCTTTTCTTTGCAGACATATATGCTATAATTTTTTTACATAGCTGTACGCCGCTGGTTGACAAAATGAAGTCATACATCTTTTTATTATGATTAAACTGCGGTTTAAGAATTTTCCAAACGTATAAAACAAAATATTACAAATCACAATGTGCGGTTTTATTGCGTTCTTATCGAATTTTACATTTTTCACCTATTGTAATGAATCATTTCAATTGCTAAATTTGGCTTTTGAAAATAGGTAGACGAAGTGTGCGATATGGATTTCATTAATCGAAAAAGCAATAAATTTAAATGAATCCCACGTAAGTAATAATAAATATTGTTGCATTATCTAAGCATTTTATGAAGTAGGCTCTTTTTAATTGTTACTAAGTTTTTTCATGAGGTTTCGCTCCACTGGATTAGGTATTTATACCCTAGTAACTTATTGGGGTTTAGAGAACTTTTTCCCTTATTCACCCCCCTTAAATGGATTGTTTGAAAGATGGCCTTAATACTAATTTTCACGATGTTAAATAAGTATCTGCATTATGCATACCAATTTTTAGGACTGAAATATTAGAAATAACATTTTATTAAGTTTGTTCCAACAGCAATATAGAACCATTCGGAATTTAACTGCGCATGAGTAGTATAAAAAATAGAACAGCTAAGTCGTACTGCTCATGCTCAGCTACATTCTGAACGAATCCGTACTGCTGTTAGAACATATCTTTAATTCCCCTTCTCTTATTACCTTACTCTTTTTGTCACAAATTATAGTGAAGCGAACATGAAGAAAGATCATTAATAAATATTAAAAACAATAGATTTGATCCTCTTGGAATACCTATAATTTTTTTTTTTTTTTTGTTATAGTATTGTTACTACAATTTTAATCTAAAAATCTTATAACTAATAACTTATTTAAGAAGTCCCCATTGAGCTGTCTTAATTATTTCTATAGGAAAGCATCACAAGTTGGCGTGACGATTTATTACACTGTTTTACACTAGCACTAACATTAACGTTCACTGCACTAGCTCAAATGGCTTCTTCCTTTTGAGCCTTCTGTTAAGTGTAGAGTTGTCCAGTAATTGCAACGCTTCTTCATTGATGTAGGAGTGGAGTCGACCCTCATGTTTCGCAGCAAACCTCTTTATTTCTTCTTCGATTGTTGGCATCTTCAGGTCTCTATGAAGATAAACGTTTCGGTAGAACCAAGGTGCATCAATAATGCATCTTAGGACTTTATTTTGGAAAACTTGTATCATTTTAATATTACTCTTACTGACACATCCCCATAGCTGTATGCCATAAATCCAGATTAGTTTTAGGATTTGTTTATAAATCAGCAATTTGTTTAGCACTGACAATAAGTTCAAGTTCTTTACGCTTTTTTTATGTGCTCTTTCCATTTAAGTCTTACATCTAAGTTCATCCCTAGGTATTTGGCCTAATCGTAATGTGCAATAACGTCAATGTTTATTCTTATTTGTTTTTGTTCATTTGGTCGAAGTGTAAAATCAACATGCATTGATTTAGTATGATTTATTTTTATTTTCCACTTTTTTGTCCATCGATTGATTCTGTTGCAGGTTTCCTGAAGTTTTTCTGAGGTCTCTGTATTAGTTTCACCAACTGACAATATTGCACTGTCATCTGCAAATGTTGTTATTTTAACAGATTGTTGTTGAGGGATATCGCTGGTGTATAATAAGTAAAGAACCGGTCCTAGCACACTGCCTTGTGGGACACCTGCTTTAATTTCTTTCATTTCGGAGTATGCCTCGTCTTGCTTTACTCTACTTCGTAAACTCTTTCGATGATAGCAGCTCGATCTATTGTCGAGTGTTTGTTTCTAAAATCAAATTGGTGCGAAGGGATCAGATTTTTATTTTCAATTATTGGTTTTAGTTGTTTTAGTAGTAGTTTTTCAAATAACTTAGATATTATCGGCAACAATGATATAGGTCTATATGATGACACTTCATTCAGAGGTTCTCCTGGCTTAGGAATAAGGATAACTTCAGCCATTTTCCACCCATCAGGTATATTTAAGGCGAAATGCTGCATTTATGAGGTATGTCAATTTAACAATAGCCTTCCTTGGTAGTTTCTTTAATATTTCTCCAGGTCATATCCTGGGGCTTTCTGTGAGTTGATGTTTTTCTGAATTTCTTTCATTGGGAGTAACTAGCTTAATTTCAAGTTGTTCCATATTATGGATGGTCTCAATAGGAGTGTCTTCATTTTCATCTAATTGGAACGTCTTTTGTAGGTGGTCAGCGAAAATATCAGCTTTTTGTTGATTGTCTCTTGCCCATTTGTTATCTGCTATTCTGATTGGAGGACAGTGTTTACACGAATTTTTCATCTTTTTAGTTGCCTTCCAAAGTGACTAATCAGTTTCTGTATAATCTGTTAGCCCTACTAGATATCTGTTGAAGGATTCTTCTTTGTGATTTAGGATTTCTCTTCTCAGTCTTTCGGTAGCCCTATTTAATATATTTTTATCTCCTGGTGATTTTGTCATCTGCCATTTCTTTCTTAGTTTTCTTTTTTCTGCTACCAGTTCTTTTATCTCTATTTTCCAACTGTTAATCTTCTTACTTTTGATGTGTTCCTCCATGCAGCTTGCTGGATTTCAACTATAAACCTTTCCAGTTCTTCATCTAGCTGATTTTTCGTTTTTAATGTTATGGTCAGTTGAATAGTATTTGTTAAGTCCTCGTGAAAACTTTCCCAATTAGTTTTCCGATTTGCTAGGGTCGGTTTGGCTTCTTTTTGAATATCTATAAATAAGACTTAAACCTAAAGTAATTTTTGAAGAAACAAATTAGTAAAATGTCTTTATTTTACGTTTGGACTTGGACTATTCAGCTGTTACTTTTAAGGACACACTTTGATTATGAGTGAAAAAAATACACTCTATATACTATAAAAAACAAATTATCTACGTCATCAATTGATTAAATTATCTATAATATTAATTTTTTTCATATTGTTTCTTTAATGTTGATAAAACTTATCTCCAACAAGATATTAATAAACGTTTTATTACAAGATTATAATAAAAACTTCAAATATTTTGAAAATTACTCGTAATTGATGCAAAATATTTTGAACTTTGTATTTAACTTAAATAGTTGCTAATAATTACAAAATGAACAACAATAATAATGCATACTAGCTGTTATAGTGAGTGAAAAACATTATTAAATTTGTTAAAAAACATTTAGTGCTGTTAAATATGAAAGAACTGGATAACAGTATATAAGGTTTGTATTTTGTGGTCCTATAAATGAATTTTTAAGTTTTTTGTGTTTAAAAAGTATGTGCTATAGGTCTAAAATGTGTAGAGTAAATTCTACTATTAATACCAATCTCTGGTGATATTCCTAGGGTACGTACTCAAAGGTTTTTTAATTCAGAATTTTCAAGAAATCTAAACATAATATTAAATTAATATGGTATAAAAGGCTAAACAAACAGTTTTATAAAAAATTTAATGATATTTAAGTTACAGAACCACCTTTAAAGTACTTTCTACCACAAAACATATTTAACAACCATTTTTCTGAATATTTTACAACAGATTACATAAAAATAAAAATATCTACTACAAAATTTCCACAATGACGCACAACACAATCCAAACAAAGTGTACTCACCCTAAACTATATACCTAAAGAGACGACACTGTTTGGCCACGTCTTGTATATGGTTTTTTATCTTTCTCTAATGGTTCTGAAACACAATTGGACAGAAAGAAATATTTTATTAATTTAGAAATTTTGAGCCGAACATTCATAGCTCAAACGGTTGCATATATTTTTAATTTCAATGTTATGGGATTTTGTAGTAAAGATTGACTTAAATTGGAGCTTAAATTAAGTTAGATAAATCTTCCTTTCCAGGAATGAATGTTTCAACCTCCTCCTCACAGAATCTGCACTCAATATCTTCTACTACTCTCAGTTTATTAAAGAATGTTTCTGTAAAAAAATTAAATTTTAATACAGAAACTGCTTAAAACTATAACCATGATCAAAGCAGAGAACGACTTTGATCCCTTGACAGAAGATGATAATCTCGAAAAAGAATTGATCATTTCCTTTCAAGGCCATCATCCTCAAAGAGCAGATGAAAATCCAAACATTAAATTTGCCGAAATAGTATAGTACGCTACTAAAGAAAATGCTCGTCAAATACAGATTCTTTAAAGTAAATGATTTCCAAATCGTGATAAGGAGGTTTTAAGTATAATCCTGTAAAAGATCAAACACATAGTCAACGAATTTTGGAGGCTGTTAAAATGAAATCAGAATTAGATTGTAAAAAATTGCTCAATGGACGTGGTTTATCCAAATATGTTGATTAGCATACAATATAAAAAACAGGGATTATATAATTATTAAAGTAAGCGTAGAACTTGATTTTTTAAATAATTGCACCTTTAAAAATTCTACGCCAATGGAAGAAAAGGAGTTTAAGTATGAAATTTAGATTGCGCAACTCATTTACTTTAAAAAAGATACTCTTGATAAGACTCGATTACTCTCATGGTTTTCGCTAAATTTCTGTTTTAATAATTTAGAGTGTATAGGTTTCACAAAAATATTTATTTTATTTATTTACAACATAATCAAAATAGAGATTTTACAAAAATTGTTCAAAATGTTTACCATTTTCACGCATACAAAGATTTATACGTCGAAGAAAATTAAAATGTATCCTTTCCATAACTTCTTCATCACCTCTAAGGATGTTGTTAATGCATCTTGAATACGTTGCCAGAGTTGTTCCTCATTTTCTACAGGTTCCCTGTAAACTGTGGATTTCAGATATCCCCATAAAAAGTAATCTATCGGTGTTAGGTCTGGGGAACGTGGTGGCCAGTTTACAGGTGCGTCATTACCTCTGCCTATCCATTTGTGTGGATATTGTTCATTCAAGTGGTTTCTAACGTTTAAAGAAAAATGTAGTGGAGCTCCATCTTGCATAAACCACATATCTCTCCGAAGTTGGAGAGGTAAATCTTCTAACAATTCTGGCAACGTATTTTGTAGAAAATCCAAATAATTTTCTCCAGTTAATCTTCGTGGAAGTATGACAGGACCAACAATGAAATTACCAATTATTCCAGCCCACACATTAATTTTGAATTCGTGCTGAAAATGGTTTACCTTTATTGCATGCGGATTTTCAACGGCATAAACATGTTCATTATGGGTATTAGTTATACCTCTTCTTGTAAAACCCGCTTCATCGGTAAAGAGAACCTTCTTGACATCTTTACTTACTCCTAGTTCCCTTCCAATTCGTCTGGTGCTTAATTCTGGATCTTCTTCAACACGTTCTAAAATGTCTTCTTCGACTTCAGGAATCCTTACAAAACGTTCTCTTTCATTATCAACAGTGTTGGGAGCAAAGGAACCGGTCTCCCGAAGACGTCTCTCAACAGCAGCAAAAGTTAGGTGGCTAGGTACAAGACGATTTGGAAACCTTTCAGAGTACACCCTGACACTCTCTCGAGCATTTCCTTTACAAAATCCTAATGTCAGTAACATATCGGTATATTCTGCTTTGGTATATTGTACAGCCATATTAATAAACCACGCATTTGTTTTTTTAATTATTGAGTCAGATAGAACACTTTCAATCGTTAACAAGAGATTAGGTGTTAGAACTTGACAATATTTTTATTTAGATGAAACTATGGAAACCAACAATAAATGTTTTTGTATACGTATTGCAGGCAAATAATTAATATTCCTCAAAAAATCGTACATGGCAAGAATCGAGTATTTTTGTTAAAAGTCTCGATTAGAGGTGTTGAGGAAGATATGAAAAAAGTACATTTTTATGTTTTTCAGCGTATAAAATTTTGTCCGATAGTAATACATAGGCGTAGAACTTGATTTTTTAAATAATTGCACCTTTAAAAATTCTACGCCAATGGCAGAAAAGGGGTTTGAGTATGAAATTTGGATTGGGTACTCATTTACTACAAAAAAGTACCCTTGATAACACTCGATTTACTCTCATGGTTTTGTATTTTAATAATTATTGTTTATGTTCTAAAATTACTAAAATGCAAATTTCGTCAAAACCATGAGAGTGATCAAGTCTTATTAAGAGTACCTTTTTTAAAGTAAATGAGTTGCGCAGTCTAAATTTTATACTCAAACTTCTTTTCTTCCATTGGCGTAGAATTTTTAAAGTTGCAATTATTTAAAAAATCAAGTTCTACGCCTATGTATTATTATCGGACAAAATTTTAATACCATTTTTTTGCCACATAAAACTCTACCAATATACCAAATTTCAGCAAAATCGCTTATGCCGTTTTAAATTTATATGGGAAAAACGATTTAAAAATTGTAACTTTTAAGGCCCTCTGGAGTTCAAACGAAGCAACTTTGTACTAAGGTAATTTTACTTAAATCGACTTATTTTGGTCTAAGGAATATGTTTTTGTAAAGACCTTTTACAGACACCCTGTATAATAATAACAGTGTATCATTAACCAACTGGGTAATTTTATTTTATACTTTTTATGATCTTTTTAATGGTAAAATCCCATTTAAAAGTCAACTTTCCCAAGAAAAAGATGTATTTAAATTGTTTGTCATACGCAAATATTGATAATAAATATTTTTAGGAATTTCCTAGAAAGCGAAATGATCCTTGATAGATCTGTAAACATTATATATATGCACACACAAATGAATGATCAATATAGTCTTTTATAACATAGTTGTTAGATACATCTCCATTCAATGTTTATGATACAGGGTTGATTGTTAACAGATCTTCAAAGATTATTAAATGTGTAGGTGAGTATCAATTTTAATTAAAGAAAAAAATTATTTTAAGTACAGTGACACGGGATAGTTCCATCAAAATTAGTGGTTTTTCAGAAAAAATTATTATTAAATTTTATAATCAAAATTTTAACTACCACATTTAGAATTTTTGGTATTTTACCACCACATAGTTATTAATTTTTTCATTTAAATAGTATATTTATATATTTGTTTCGTAAGTTTACTTAGAAAATTATTTTAAGCAAATTTTAAACTATTTTTATGTTGTTTTGGTAATTTATACTTTTCAAATATGTTTAAAATGACGACAAAAAGTGAAAAACTCTTTCTCAAAAAATAGTGTATTCAATAATCATATTTATCACTTCTAATAGAAAAAGACATTAGTTTTTTAATTATATCTTTCTTAAGAATAAAGTCTTCGTCTTTTACATTGGAGAAATAAAAATAAATTTCTTTCAATCCTACATTATTTCTAAAAAAGTTGCAAATAAAAGATCTACATATTAAAAAATTTTAGTTAGACATTTTACAATTCCATTAATAAATATGTGGAACAATATTGGACCTAGGTGGGATCCTTGCGGAACATTTTATATCTTTATGATGACTAGAGCTAGGAATATATGCAAAACGCCATATTTTGCATATGTTGCATATATATATATACAATTTTTGATTTTGAATGCATATATTGACATTTTTTGGCATATATCTGACGTACTAATTGTCTGGACATATTAAAATTATGAGTTTTGGACCAAAATAATATTTTGTGAAATGCCTTTATAGGTCGATTTCCTAAAATTTTGAAGGATTAACTTTTCCCTGTAATAAATTACGGTTAATGGTGTAGGTACTTGAGAAAATTAAATTATAAACACACTCCTTAAACCAACAAATTTTGCTAAATATCCATCAGGTAGTTGTATTAATATCTTCAAATTTCTAAATGACTCAGTTTACTTTCAACTTCATTTCAGTCTTTATTGTTGTGTTGTGTTAACCAGTGAGAAAAATGGCAAAATTAATTGAGTCGTGGGTAAAATCTTATTCAGATTTTGTTGTAGAAGGTGATAACCAGGTGATTTGTAAAACATGTTCTAAAATTGTAAGTACTTTTTTATTTTATATTTTATTTTGACCTTTCACAATGGTAAATCGAACGACAGTAAAATATTATTTCAACTCACAGTTAAAAAAAAGTAAGGCAACTTTACAACGTACGCATTTATTTAATTTAATTAAAACTTCAACATCTACAGGAATTTATTTGTTTTAGATTCCATGTTAACCCTTAAATGCATCTAGTTGCCATATGGCAACATACCGATATTTTACTAGCCTAAACACACTGGAACGCAAATTTACGCTCGATACATGCTGTAGCCAATTGAATACATACCGTTTAATGATATAATTTTGAAAGTTACTATGTGATGGCGCTACAAAGCGTGAGTGCATCGGTTTTGTCAGTTGATGCATGGCGCGCAGACGTTACTGCTGTTTATAAATTTGTGAATTCTGTAGTGTTTCTCCAGTGACGATTTGAATATTATAAAATTGTGTTTCCTAGTCCAATAAGGTTTGTATTTTACTATAATATTTTATATTGCGGTTTATATCATTGTTTTTTCTGTAAACTGCAGTTTTGTTTTGTTGCCAATCGGCAACATTATGCTTTTAGGATATAAAATGTTATATATATATATATATAATTTTTTCGTATTTCAGAATGAGCAATAGAGATAGACGGCCCTTATCAGAAAAAAGGTTGACAGAGTACTGGGAAAATTTCATAGGCCTAGATAGCGATGATGGTGTAGTTAGTGATGCAGACAGTTGGGACGAGCCTATCGAGGAATCTGTAATTTTTCCCAAAGATGATGTTGAAGATGTCAGCGAGGCCGATCACTCTGAAAAAGAAGATATACCTACACCTAGACCTACATTTAGCGACGATAAAGACAATTTACCTCTATCTGTGCTAAGAGGTCAGGCAAAAAAAAGAAAAAACGACTACGAACAAGAATATTTTGTGGAAAAAAAAGTCCCTGCAGCTAAATGAGGACCAATTACGCTTCACAGGGGATACAAAACTTGATGCCAATATTTGTAAGTTGGAAACCCCTTACGAGTTCTTCAGTTACTTTTTTTCAAGTGACCTAATACAACAAATAGTTCATGTAACAAACTTATATGCTGTACAGAAAAAACCTGAAAGGCCTCCTGTTTTTACAGAAATCGACATAAAACAATATGTGGGCATCATAATATACATATCGATGGTCCATATGCCAAATACTAGGTCATTCTGGAGTGAAGAACTTCAGTTTTCGCCAATTGCTGATACCATGCCTGTAAATAATTTTGAAAAAATTAGGCAATATATCCATTTTAATAATAATCAAACTTTTATACCTCGCAATCAACCTGGACACTATAGACTACATAAAATAAGACCTCTTGTTACACATTTAAACGAAAAATTTCAATCAATTGCCTTGGAACAGCACCTAAGTATAAACGAGCAAATGTGTTCTACCAAGGTAAGGCATTACATGAAACAATACATGCCAATGAAACCCCATAAGTGGGGTTTCAAGTTTTTCGTTTTGGCGGGAGTTTCCGGATTTGCTTACAAGTTTGAGATTTATACGGGTCAAGAGAAATTTGAGCAGTTAGTGGATGGTGAACCAGAACTAGGAGTAACTTCAGGAGTAGTTTTACGATTAGCAAGAGTTATACCACGTCATAAGAATTATATATTATACACAGCTTTGAAACTCATGGTGCACCTCGCTAAAGAAGGTATTTACTCCTTAGGTACAATACGAAGAAATAGACTTCCTAACTGCAAATTGCCCACAGAAGCTTCACTAAAGAAGGCTACTCGGGGCACCAGCCATGAATATGTTGCAACTGTTAATGGGGTAGATATATCATCAATCATTTGGAAAGACAATAAATATGTCACCCTTATTTCATCATTTGTTGGCAAAAATCCAATAACAAAGGTCAAGAGATTTGATCGCAAAGAGAAGAAGAACATTGAAGTTGACTGCCCTAACATAATTAGTGAATACAACAGACATATGGGGGGAGTGGATTTGTTAGATAGTTTGATGGGTAGATACAAAATTCATTTGAAAAGCAGAAAATGGTACATAAGGCTCTTCTACCATCTTATTGATATGTTCCTAGTAAACAGTTGGCTCCTTTACAAACGAGTAAAAAATGAAAATGGAGAAGGTGGTAAAGTCCTGAATCAAGCTGAGTTCCATACTCAAGTGGCTTACCATTTATGCAATCTAAGGTCGACTCAATTTAGGCGTGGCAGACCAAGCAATAGCTTGGAAACTGATATTGCGGCAAAAAAGAAGAAAGGTCCAACCAAACACGTTCCACCGAAAGAAGTGCGCACGGATCAAACTAGTCATTGGCCTGTTCCCCAAGATGCTAAAATGAGGTGCAAATACCCCAACTGCAAAGATTTCACTCGCATCAAAAGTGTGAAAAGTGTGGGCTTGAATTATGTCTCAACAAAAACAATAATTGTTTTAAAAAATTTCATAACTAATTTTTTGTCGTAAATGCATACTGTAGCCCTTTGGCAACAATCCTTTTTTTGAAAATAAAAATTTGAAAAATTAGGTTGGGATTTTTTCACTACTTTTTTGGTGTTGGTTTGTACTTTTTCTAATGTATTTTTATTATTTTACAAAAAAATAAAAAATCATGCATTTAAGGGTTAAAAAAGTTTCAAATCGACCAACACGCGAAAACACCCTCACATATAGCAAAGCAGAAATCTAAAGACACTCGCAGACAAAGTCAATTTCCCTTGAAACAAACTTTAGAATCTGGATCGTCTAGAAGTGAACAAGCTATTTTTAATGAAGATTTATGCAAAGCTTTAGTGACTTCCAATATCCCTTTAATACGATTAAATAATCCAAATCTCCGATCATTTTTGCAAAAATACTGTAAATTTAATATTCCAGAGCACAGTATATTACGCAAACGTGGTGTTGACAGTTTGTACATTGACACTCGTGAAAAAATTCGTGAGATTACCGTTGGAAACTATTTCTACATTATTGTGGATGAAACAACAGACTCTTGTGGTCGATATATAGCCCATTTAATGATAGGTTTATTACGCGAAGAAATGCAAATTAGTCCATATCTAATCGCTTTAAAGCAATTAGATAAAACAAATAACTTGACAATAACTCGTTTTATCCAGACATAATTGTCTTCCTTTTTTCTTCCGGAAGCCGTTCCAATAGAAAAATGTTTATTGCTGTTATCCGATGCTGCCCCGTACATGGTAAAAGCCGCACAAAATTTAAAATTGTTTCATGAAAACTTAATCCATGTTACATGTTTGGCTCATGGCCTTAACAGAGTTGCAAAAGAAATTAGGTCTAACTTTCCTTTAATAAATGATTTAATTAATAATGTAAAAAAAATATTACTTAAAGCTCCTCTAAGAACTCAATTGTACAAAGAAAAATTTCCTGAATTACAGATGCCACCGGAACCTGTGATTACTCGGTGTAGTACCTGGCTTAAAGCTGCCTTTTTGTACGCAGATAATTATGAAAAAATTAAAGAAATCATATTTGATTTTGATAATTCATCCAAGGGAATATCTAATACAAAGAAGTTGTTTCAAAATCACATATTACCAAAGCAATTAGTGTTTTTAAAAAATTATGCATTTGTACCCAAAATTATATTAGATTTAGAACAAAAAAATTTACCTTTGGTGACTTCCGTAAATTTAATTAAGATGTTTGAATCAGAGTGTAAAAATGTCCAGGGCGGTATTGGAAAGACGATTTTTCATAAATTTTCAAATGTTATTTTAAAAAATGAAGGATTTATTGTTTTAAGAAACCTTGCTAATATTTATTCTGGTAACTTTGAAGATATTACAGTTCATCAAATTTCTAGAGGCTTTCGACGGCTAGACAGAGAAAGCACTACTGACAGGCATCCCGACGGATTTACGCAATGAAAGTACACTCTGCGCATCAAGTATTTCACTATTTCATTCAGACGTAAATGTCAGATGTAAATTTCGCTAAAACATTTCTTTTATTTTCGTTTGTGTTTTTTGTTCATTACAGTTTAATAGAACCTAAGTATGGAGTTTAATAGCAAATTAAGAGGCCGCGTAATTAACAGTCAATCTCGCGAAATAATAGCCAATGTTATAGAGTTTATGAGAAGAGAAGGAAACTTTAATTCACCTTCAATACCATTTAAAAATGTAAATGATCGTGTTGCTGCAGCCACAGGAGTATCTAAAAACACTGTCGTCCGCATTTCTGGAGAGAAAAAAAGAATCGATAACCGTGAGATATCGGAATTTTCATCACCAAGAAAAACCATTAAAAAACCAAAAACAGTTAATGATATAGATGAAGCTGCACAAGAATCAAATTTTATTTTTTTTATTATTAGATAGCTATTTTTGTTTCTGAGTTGTGTTCATTTACAGGCTCAATTTTTTTCCGTTTCTTCTTTTTGATTTTATATGGGGTTTCAAGTTGTTTTTGACTTATTTCGACGTAAATCACAACAACACACTTTTTTAATAAAGCAAACAAGTGTTAAGAGGTATATGTACGTGTAAACTACAATTACAAAAAATTGATATGAAACCCATGAAACCACCAACAAAAATGTAAAGCTAGCTTCCGTACTAGAACATGGTGTCATTCGTCGAGATAATTTATCGTTTTGTTTAATAGATCAAGAAATGTAAATATTCTCCTGTTATTTTTTATAAAATTATAAGAGAAATAAAATTTTTTCTAAATAGTATAGTTTATTATTTTGTAGAAAAACAAAATTTCGAAAATTTTAGTAATGTTTCAGAAACAATCTTTATTAATAATAGGTACCATTTTCCTTAATAAGGTAGAAATAAAATATAAACTATTTCCACGATTTACAAAGGCCTACAAAAAAATTATAGGTATTTTCCGCTATCCTATAAAATTTATATTTTCTGACTCAATTTCAAAAGGTTGAAGGAATTCCAAAACACCTTTTATGGCATAATAATTATTTTAAATTCTACATACTATCTTTAGCTGCTTTTAAAAACGTTCTAAGAAAGTCCAATCAGACCAATTTAATCCCTAAACTATTCCACACTTTTAAAATTTAATTACCTAAAAATATTAAAAACTATTTAAAATAACTTGTTTAGCAGACTGTACAATAGCTATCTTAGTCACACGTAGCGCGTTCTCTGTCTGGGCGTCGAACACCGCTAGAAATTTGATGAACTGTAATACTATCCATCCAGATATTTCAGGAAAATTTAAGTTTGCACCTATTACTTCTGTAGATGTCGAAAGCAGTTTTTCTTTGTACAAGTACATACTTACTGATAGGAGACAATCATTTAATACAGATAATTTAGAAAAACATCTAATTGTTCATTCGTTTTATAATAATGTTGATTTGTAAATACAATTAGTTAATAATTAAATAATTATTAAGTATTATATTAGGTATTGTAAAATAAAACAAATAATAAATATTAATAAACTATTTTGGGTGCACATATTTCTAGGTCTAATGATGACTATTATGTGCAACACAAATTACCCTGTATAAAAGTGCATGTTTTAAATAGGCAAAATTTTATTTACATTAAATATCCCTGTAAACTTTTCCGATAACAAAATATACATTTATGTACTCGATTATTAACTGAAATTGGCACAACGTTTTCTTATATTATAGACCTTATATAACTTGGGAGTACCTAAGTGGATTATCTCAGATAAGACTGATAAATTTCGAGTGATAGATTTATTGAAGATTACAACATTAGTACTATGGTTTTGGTATTCACTTTCAAAACATGGATTCCAATAGAAGAAACGAAAAGGAAAAGAATCCTAGAACAAAGTGTTCGATATTAACTTTGATCACATTTTTGTAAGTACTGTTATATACAAATTTTAATGATTGTTATTTTTTTTGCGTAGAAATATTTTAGATAAAACTGCAATTATTACAATCAAAATGTTATAAAAACTGTATTTTTGTTATTATCTACCTATTGGTGACATTTAAAAATAGCTCAATGTTAAATGGATGCGTCATAACTTTGTTTCTTTTTTTTGGAAGTACAGTATACCAAGTATACCTATACAATTGGTCAAAACATCATCCAATCGTGATCTATAAATAGCTTATACGACTATTTTTTTTTTTATTTTTTATACAAGGATAATTCTCAGTTCATACTAGAATTTTACATAAATAAATAAATAAATAAAAATTCTTTGGTTTTATCGGTCAATAAGTGTCTATTTATCAAACAATGTTTCCTCTAATACAGCAAATTATAGCTCATAAAAAAATGCAAAAAATGTAGTTCATGTAACCAAAGAAATTTTATTTCTTTATGTGATATTTTCTTTGCACACTGTATACCCTACCTATCCGTTTTTAGTTATACTTTCCGTCTATTCAAAAAGGGTAGAAAAAAGGCTCTCGAAGATGAGGATATTTACGAAATACCCTCCTGGCTGTCATCGGAAAAACTGGGAAATGAACTTGAAGATACGTGGACCACGCAAAAAAAGAACAGCAAAGATCCCTCCCTCATTAGAGCGCTGATAATGTCTTTCGGGAAGGGATTCTTGTTTTTAGGAATAATTCAATTGGCTGTTAAAACAGTGATAATGTAAGTAGAACATTTTTTATGATTAGATAATGTAGAATTTCTTCTTCTTCTTCTTCTTTATTCTTTTATTGGGCTATGTTAAATGTAGAATTTGAATTGACCTCTTCATATGCTAGTAGCCTTGGATTCAGAAGTAACACACATTCAGTCAGAATATGACAGAATCTGTAAGATATATTCATGGAGGTATAATACTAATGGAGATGCCATGAGTCAATTGTTTTGCATATGATACGTTTTATTAAAAATGACCCCACTGGGCGTGGCTTAAATGGTTGACTAAGCAGGATCGTATTCAAATATAATTAAAGTCCGTGTGCAGAATTACAACTTTTAAATGACTTACTTACCTAAGATTTGTTTCAACATGATCGATTCCAAATTAATTTGATGACATTGCGCAATTATGACTTCTACACTATTTACTATTATTTATTAACCGTTTTCCGACCAAGCCAATGCCAAGACCATAAAAGAGATTAATATTATTATATTGTTCTGTCTTCGCCGAAACCGTCCGATATATGACCTGTGTGATCGAAAATCAACGTTCGAATAACACTGTGCATCAGATTTGTTAATCTCTTTGTGCTTTAAAACTAAAACCCGATCTACGATTTTTCGTTCAAGGACTCTCTTGTCTTGATCAAAGCTGCCAATGTCAAAATCTCACAATGAGGAGAATTATGACATCAAATTACCAAATCAAAAACCAAACCTCTACGTGAATTGTGAATAAATATATTTCACTAAAAATACAGCAGAATTTGTAGAAAGGACAATTAATTACTTTTAAATGTAAAACATGTAGGTCTTTCTGCTGCAGATGACCCAAGTAACAATTTGATATTTTATAAAAGCTGAAAAAATGTTTACAGAACAAAATTTATAAAGTAGAATATTAGCTAAGAACATTTCCGGAACATTCTTTCAACAGTAATAAACACAAAATGGGCGCAGTATTACAGAACTATTTGGTTCTTTTGTAAATTCTATAAGATTTGTTGAATGCAGTTACCGAACAGTTACTACACATTTACACAGACTTTAAACAAATGTTTTTTTAAACTTTTATAACTGTTTTATAAATTTTCAATTTTGAGGTTAGGTTGCATATCAAAATCAGTAACATTTTAGTTTTTTAAATGTATCTGGTGAAAACAAATTAATTCTATATTTGTCATAAAAGTAAATTCAAGGCGATATTAGTAAAATCGCAGTATCTACTTAAGAGATATCTATAACGCGGTTTAGACATAATATATGACCTACAATAAAGTCGTTTTTGGATGCGCAGCAAGAATTACTGTTAATTATATAGCACATACAATACTAAATTTTTAAGCGCCTCGAGTTTGATTCATATTTCTAATACTTTTTCAGTGTGAAACAAAAATTAAATTTATGAAATTTGATTTTTTTTTTTAGTAATAAGATTATGCTAATATTACTAATGATTAAAATCTTTAATTAACATTGGTTTTGTCTTAAATACTAGTAAAACCGACAGTAGATTTAGCTTTAAAACTGTCTTAGGTTTTTGTTAAATATGGCAGCTATTCAGAGGTATTAGAAAGTTATTTTAAGACTGAATCATAATTATAAAATATTATTGTAGTAAAAACAGCTGTAATACAATAATTAAGTTGTACTACTCATTTCTACAAAACAAGTTCATCATGGTTTGTTGTATAATAGTTTCATATTCCTGCACTATATGACAAAATATAACATAACCTTACTAAATCGTTTCCGATTTAAGTATTTGGGAATTGAAATGATTAGATTTGTTTCTACAGCTTTATAGAGCAAGCATAATTTTTAATATTACGAGAATAAGCAAATTTAACATGGACATCGCCAAAAATATGGCTTTCTTTTAGTATTGGGGCATGATTATTCAGAACATACCTAATTACTATCTGGCTAAATGATAGTTTTTTTTTTGAGTGTTTAGACAAACCATCAAAATGTTTTACTAATATTTTTTACTGTTCTCTGAAAAGCAGGTACCACTTATTTTTTATATTTCTTCACTATTTAAATCTGACATTTTCAGACCATACACTTACATACAATTAGTATGGGAAGTAGTCGAACAAACATAAAATACAAAAATAATATGGCGTAGGTACTACCAAATGTAGTTGCTTTATTTTTTTATAAATATTTTGAAAGGGATAATACTATTCTTAACTAAAATAATAGTGTATTTCGACAATATATTACAGTTATTTTAGAGTTTTCATCAGAAGCAAATTGCTATTGATGCGGAATTATCTCACACTAATATTTATATAACTATTTTTTAAAGCGTTATTATGAGGTTAAGAAACAGTTATATTTGTATGACCAAAAAGTTCTAAAGGTAATCCAGAACAATAATATAGAATAACTATAAAGCAATTTTATTTTATAAGCTGAAATATTGTATAGAACAGTTGTATAAATGATTATGTAACAATTTCATAGTTATCGTGAAAACTATTTTATAATTTTGCTGTAAGAATATTGTAAAAACTAATTTATATAACTATTTAGTTTCAGAGAACAAAATAGTGATTTCTGCAACTGTAGTACAATAAATTAGCATTCCAGAAACAACAATATAATATCAATAAAATATAATAGTCTTGTAAACTAAAAATTATAAAGCTACTTTGTTAGTTGGGGACATACATTAAAAATATGACCCGCTACAGTCAAAAGTTTAAAAAGACCAAAAATTCAGCTAGGTATGACTTTATGGTTAAAAGTAGATGGAAGAAAACCATGATCAAAACTACTCTGTCAAAACCAATCGGAACTAAAAAGACTCAGATAATAGTTGTTGGTTTTATTTATGTTTGAAATAATTAATTATATAGGGTAGGTACATATATTACTAAAATTGCAAGCAAGTACTTACTAAAGATTTCTATAATTGCTACCTATGTATAATAAACAACAATCTCACAGATACACAGCATACAACTAGACAAATGGAATTATAGAGATGATTTATTTTAAAAATAGGCATTCAGTTGCGATTTGTGATTACAAAAAGATAACTTTAACCACTTTTTCTGATCAGTAATGTTAGTGTTATAGTGGAAAAGTTTCTAGAAACTGGTGTTTTTATTCCTAATAAAGCATTGTGAACTTCCAACAAACTCCTCATGTTGACGAAAGGCCATTTCATCCATAATAAGTGCACAAATTATTTTTTCATTGGAACAATTTGTTTTAATCTGTAGGGCATTGAAAGCCTCACTTGTGAATCCAGGCTCACCTTTTATACTTTGATACCATCGACTGATTGTACGGACATGTGGTAAGCAAGTGTCAAATATTCTTCTTACATAATTATAAGCAGTAGGTGAGTAATAGTGGAGAGTTAAGGAAAACACTTTTAGCTCTTCTGAATACTTCTTAGGCAATGGTAGGTTAGACTTTTTTTTTAATTGCCTGCTTCATATCTCGATGGGGCCCCCAAGTTTTTACATTATATCTAACTCATCTTCCTGTATCAAATGTTTTTTACTTACATCATTTAATATATTTTTTAAGTTGGCAATTTTATTCACTTTTCGAGAAAGTTGTCGTCTTAGCAATTTTAATTTTTTCTTTCTTTTTGCACTTGTTGCCCGGACAGAGGAAAGTGTATGTAATATTTTTTGTTTCTTTGGCGTCAACGGTTCTTCATATGGAATATTTAGAGAAGAAGCAGAGGGTACAGGTAATTCGATCTGACTGGTTTGATTTGCTGGTTTAATAAGAATATTTGATAGGATCCTGATTTTTGGAGGAGGAGGTGTAGATATGGATGGGTTAGTCTAGAACAAGATTTTGTATCTTATAAAGCCTTAAATATAGATCCATGATACAAAAACTACTAGTTTAAGTTCCAAAACTACTAATTTTTAAAAATCATTAACTTCGTAATATGTTTTAAATTATATTTATTGTGTATTGTGAACAAAGTCGGGAGGTTTTTAAATTAAGGAACATCAATTTAATGTTTGTTCATTTAATATTAATAATAATTGTAATGTGGTACATAAGCGGGCATACTATTTTATATCATGAGGATGAGGAGGTACATAGCAGTGAGTGATGGCCACAAATCTAATTAAATAATAAAAATACATCATCAGTATTTATTATTATACAGTATATTCATTATCAAAACGGTATAATAATAGGAAATTAGGATCTAATAAAAACTACTTTTAAATACTTGAAATTTTATTCTAAATTATGTGTTACTTAAAAAGTTATTCATTTAAGTGTAATTATAAGTTGGTTTTTAAGTTTAATTATAAGTTGGTTTTTAAGTTTAATTATAGTTGGTTTTTAAGTTTAATTATAAAGTTAGTTATTTAAGTTTTATTATAGTTATCTAAGTTTTAATATATTTATTTGTCTTTATTATAAAGTTAGTCAAGCCAATGTTCTTTATTAAGTTAGTTATTTAAGTTTTATTGTAAATAAAGTGTATACTAACTAAACATTCATTTATTGTCGGAACAGCATTCTTCTTCAATCTGACCCTAAACTCACTCTTATCAAAAAATTCTTCCTTGCTATTCGGTATAGGCTCAAATTGGTCTTTTCCCACAAATTTAGACCAAATTTTGAGATATTGTGGGTCTTTTGGAAACCTATAATAAAAAAAAGTTAAGCATTCTAAAAAAAATTCTAAGTACACTCCTTATACTTACTAATGAAAACTTAAATTAGATATTTTCCTACGCTCTTTCACTGAAGAGTTTTTACAATTAATTTTTGCACACTTAGTCATGATTTTTATACAAATTAATAAAACAAAAACAGTTATTAAGATAGAAATAACGTCGAAATATTTAAATTTGAACAAAGTTCTGACAGCTCTTTGACAACTATGACATGACCACTAAGAGAGGGGGAAGGGGTGTCGTTTTTTGGCATGTCATCTCCATAGTATCCAACCTCATTGGATATATTCCATATTACCAAATTGGACGAATTAAAATTGTCTATGACTCTATTACATGCTTCATGTTTGTTTTTTAAAGATTTAGCATCAGTTTTTTTATTTTCATTGATAATAGAATTATCTTTCTATTCTCTTAATATATTCTTTATTAATTTATTATTTTTGACAATTTAAAAAAGGAGTCAACTATCAATGCTAGGTATTTCGTGGAACATCTGAACTATTTTAAAAATGTTTTTTTTTTAATAATATTATTACTAAGTGATAAAAGGATGAGTGTGTGTGTGTGGCAATAAAGTTGCTTCCAACGATGAAACTATATCCAAAATTGCTCCCTAATCAAGACATATCTAGGTGGACAGTATACTACACAGACAATGACTTCATGTCTCATACGTTTTAGCATTTCTATAGATTGAATCTCTTTTGTTCTTGTTCGATACTCCGTTTCTTGATGATGTATAACTGATTCTGTTATTATGAAAGCAGCCTTTAGCTGTGTTATTAGGATGTAGATGTAGAGTAAAATGAAAATGAGATTTATAGATAAGGCAAATATCAATTATTTCTATATCCAGGATTACCTGCAGTTCATATTGGTGTTGCAGGAGTCTATTGGCGTTCCATTCCATTATCCTTAAATTATTTAACGATATATAATGTTTAGGAATAGCTCCTTTTACTGCTATCCTAGTCACTCTCTCATCCCTTTTTAAACATCTTTGTTCAATGGAAGTCCTTCGTTATCATTATTTTTAATTTCTGAGTTACTAGCAGTTGCTGCTTTGTATGTTTTTCTTTTTTAATTTGTTTAATTTCTTATTTCTTGTTGATTTGTTCTTTGCGATGGATTAAAAAGAACCAGTTGTCTTCCTTTTTTTTGCATTTCTTGTGCAATCATGCATGCTCTGTAGTCAGAAGGGTGAGATTCTTCTCATTGAAGGGTTTCTTTAGGTTTGTCGTAGTTCTAAGTTAAGGACGGGGTATCCCTGTGTATTAAAAGTGTATGTGTAGACCAAAAGTTAAATCGACAGTTTTCCGAATATGTAGTGTTTAAAAATCTAATTTTTGGCCAAATTAAAAATAAAGGTCTAACTTAGGTCACCTTACTATTGAAAATTAATAAATTTATTATTTTCAATAAAAACCAATCATGTAAAATAACCCCCTTTTATTTCATCTCAAAGGTGCCGTGTAGAATTATTTTAACCTCGATAGTATAGTATAGGAAATTAGTACATTCTGAATGATAATATCATTTTAATGCTATTTTTGAAACTAGTTCAAAAGTTGTATTTAACGATACTTAATGTTTCATTTTACCGTCAGTTTTAGTTTGACATATCCGTCATTTTATGTTTACAAAGCTCAGTTTCTATTCGAAAGTAAGAGAAACAGTCAAAATAAAATGCGAAAAACACTTTTTATCAATTTCGTTTAAGTCAACTGAAAGCGACAATTGCTGAAGACATAACAAATAAATTAGGTCGAGAAATAAAAAAATCTATACTATAAGTAACATACCATATATTATACTTGTTAAAATAAATCAAAAATAAGAGAACATATCGTTGACGTATATACTTTCCCATCTGTGATTAGTGATTACCAATTGCAAATTACGTATGAACATGATTCTGCGCAAAAAAAACCATTATTTCAAGTACTTGCATCATTAAAGTCCATTAAATTATTATTTTTATAAATTTGCTAATCTTTGCACTTTAAGTTTCATTATATGGGGTATCCAGACATTTTAATCCTCGTCCTCTTCTATTTAAAATTATCTCAGGTGCCATATATTCCGAGTAAAATTTTTCAACCATATTTTAAAAAAAAATGGGTTGAAAATGAATTTTTTTCAACAAATAGTGGATTTTCATCTCCAGTATATACTACAAAGTAGCACAATTTTTTTTGAGCTATACCTAGCTGTCCTTGAATCTAAAAGTATATAAAATCATTATTAGAAAATCAAACATAAAAAGAATATTAATATTGTAGTATCATTTCTAGCACATTTCTTAAAAATCATGAATTATTTTAACATATTGAAAATTTTCACCTGGTAAAAGTAGTTATGGTTTTCTTTTAAATGAATGTCGCCATCTTCTATTTTTAAGCATGGAAATGGGTTTGAATATTAGGTAATGTGCCCCAATAATGTCAAATTATGACAATTCGCAGAAAACGTCAACTTTTTATTTAGATTTTAATGTGCAAAAGCCTACCTACTTTCGATATTGATCGTAGAAAAAATATATTCAGAATAATGAAACATTATTATTAAATAACAAGTTTTTTTATTGTCAAATAATACGTTATATTATTTTTTAATTGCAAATATTTGAATGTTAAAATTATAGCGTTTAATTTTTTTATTCAATGACGAACTCGAGAGTGAGAAACAAAATACTACCTACCTTTAATGCAGGAAGTCGATGTCAATTTATCCAAAAATAAAACTGATTAAAATGTACAATGAAACTCACTAGGACACTTGGCACAAATAAATCAATTTTCTATTAAAGAAAATAACACTTATTAAAAACAAACAGCACAATAAAACACTTCAGAAAGGTGTGATGTAATTTTGAAAACTAAATACCCGTAAGCTTGTTTGTAAATTTATAGACTCTTAACTCCTTCCCCCAGCCTTCATTAAGTATATTAAAAGTCGTGACGTCATATTGGGGAAATGTTTCTAGGAAATAACTACCTAAGATAAGATAAATGAATGTTAAATACCTACTCATAATATCTATTGTAGGGTTTTTGTACTTTAATAGGATAAATATTTGTGCGGGCCTGGAAATTCCAGGAAATGACAGTCAAAATTACCCAAAAACATTAGGTTAGTACCAACATCAGATAACAGATAACTTCGGTATTTAACCAATTAATCACAATTAATATTCTTGAACATTCAAATGACAAAAACTTCCATCTTTAACCAATGAGAATATAGTTTTCATTTGATACTTCAAAATCACAATTTATTAATTAGGTAGAATAGTTTTAAAATATATTGCGAATTGCGACACGTCAAGCGTCCCACTCCGACTCAATGTGACGCAATTATTGTGGCAATATATTTTGAAACGACTCTATATTCGTGACTTGAAATTATAAACATCCCTCGTATTACTACCCGTATATAAACCAAATTATTTGTTTTAGGAAATATTTATATTTAATGTGAGGCAAGATATCGTTTTTGTTGTTACCATCTGCATACCTACCTCATTCTTTACTTTGGTCCAGGAAACAAAGTCAATTTTCGATAAAAATAAAATGTAATAGGTAGGTAATACTTTATGAAACAGTACAATAAAAGTATTGAAATAAAGTATGCTCATACTCCAAAATGAGTCCTAGAGTTAACATTTTTATAATATTATAAATGGCATATAAAACGATTGGACCGTTTTCACAATCGCGAAATAATTTTTTTTTATTTGGTAAAATCCTGGCAATTATTGAAAAATAGATTTTATGTTCAAGACTATTATTATGATCCTTCGAACTCAGTCTACTAAAAACCGGTTTATAATACAATATCCCCTAATAGCTAGTCGGTCGATATTTATAGTTACTTAAAGATTTCTGTAATAATTTGCACTAATTCAATCTCTAGTCGGTAGGTAACAGCACCTCCTTGATTGAATCTAAATTGACATAATTTTGTTCAGAAATTCCTAGGAAACGCTGTCCTTAAGTGTTGGTCTGTATACCTAACACAGCATGCCTCTTGGGCAAAATTACTCAGGCTTAATCTGTTATACTAAATATTTTGTCAACATATTGCAGATAAGTTGTTTTGTCTTGTATTTTAGTTAAGCGGTGGCTTCCAGTACCTTTCATTTTATTAACAATTTCTTAATATTTAAGGGAATAGTGTATGCATGTCCCGCTTGTTCTCGTAGAAATTATTTTAAAATGTGTCTCATTCCTATTTTAATGTTTTTATCATTAATAACTTTTATCCAATGTATTTATTTGCTTGCAGATTTGTTCAGCCGAAGGCTTTAGGCAAGGTAGTAGCCTATTTTCAACCCAATCAAAAAGTAGTGACAGAAAATGATCTTTATATGTATGCCTGTATCCTAATTGGATTGAATATATTTAGTACAATGTACAATCACAATTATCAACAATTTCAAATTGAATATTGTATTAGAGCCAGAACGGCAGTCGCAGCTCTAATTTTTAGAAAAGCTCTAAAACTGGGACCTAACGCTTTATCAAACGTCACTATGGGAAAAATAGTGACCCTTATCACTAAGGATGTTTTTGCTTTCGACACCGGTTTGATGTTTCTAAATGACATGTGGATCGGTGTCATACATATTGTCGTTATAACCGTCATTATTTATCAAAGAATAGGAAGCTCAGTTTTTGGAGGAATAGGATTTTATTTGCTCATCATTCCATTACAACGTAAGTAGAAATTTAAAAAAGTCCTGCAGTTTACTGTACTCAATTTTCAAAACACCCTGTTTGTTCAGAAATCAACGCCATGGAAGTGATCTCTACTTAGGTCTAGTGACCTCCGTGGTCCATCTAAAATGGGCAGGTGCATCAATCTGCAGACTTACTTGATCTGGCAAGATAGACCATTAAACGATTAATTCTTTTATAATTCTTGGCCACATTTTTATGGAAAATCGGCATTGAAAACACTGCATTTTTTTTTTAGTATTTGTCGGTAGACGAGTAACCGTGAAACGAATGCAAGCTGCTAAAAAAACAGACGAAAGACTTCAGTTGACAACTGAAACGTTAAGAAACATTAAAACCATCAAAATGTACAGTTGGGAAAATTTTTTCGGCGACAAATTAAAAGAACTTAGAAAGTAAGTAAACTATAATAATCCAACCAACTCTTTGAAACCTAATTGTCTTTTTATAATAAAATCACTGGCACGAAAATGTATTAGGGGTCTATTCTGTAACAATTCCTTTATCTGTTAAAATATTGGAGACCTTTAAAAATATTTTCGTATTTACTAAATTACTTCTGTCATTATTTAAAATACATTAGAGGACTATCGCAAACATGACGGGCGCTCCTCCGCCAAAAATCAATTTTACATTTGAGGCAGTTAAAAATAAATTGTAAAAAAAAATGGTTCAGGCCAATCGTTGTAAAAATGAACCAAGAATTTCGCTAAACCGCAAAAAACTTATATTTTTAAAGAAAAACAACAAAAATTTCAACTTTTTAACAAATTTAATTTTTTGGCTCTTTAGCGTCATTCTATAACAAATATCTTAACTATTTTCTAAATAACTTTTTTTCAAAAAGATTACCAATTTTAAACAGGACCGAAGATTAACATAGTTTTCATTCCAATACTAATTCTATTAAAACAATGATACCAGTGAATATGGCAACGCTGCTAGTCTATAGCTTTGTCCCAACATCTCACAAAATCGTAATATTACGGTCATCGTCATGCGCAGTAAATAAAAACCTATCAATAAAGCCCAAAGTCGAACGGTTTTTATTTACTGCGCATGACGATGACCGTAATATTACGGTTTTGTGAGATGTTGGGACAAAGCTTATGAAGCCCGTGGTTAAAAGGGTAGCTGCTGTTTAGTTAAATTTGTTAATTCCTGTGTCGAAAAATAGGTAGTTGTTTTTGAAGAGGTGCGAAATTATTGTGATCGTCTTAGTTTGTTGTTGAGGCGTTGTTAGGTTTGTGTTTAATTTAGTTTTTAGTTAATTTATGAAATGAAAAATTCTGGAAGGCAAAAATGCACAGCTGATAAATTTATATTTTATTTGTTTGCTACCAGAGTTAGTAAATGCTAGAGAAATACGACATGTGCCAATTAGGGAAAAGAGATTGTCAAGAATTTTGCCCGCTTAAAAAAATGTGTATTATACAGGATGTTTCTAAATACATGCGACAAAATTCAGAAACTGATTGCTCGTATGAAATTAAGATGGGTCTTTCCTATAACAAAATTTCCTCAATCCACCCCTTTTCTAGATATCACCCTTAAAAGGTGGTGAATAAAATTGAGTTTTTATTTTTTTTTCTAAAATTTCAGTAAAGCTAGAAACTTGAAATTCTGTAATCGCAAAGGACTAACCACGGGTATTTTTTCAATATTTCTGTTACATTATAGGGGAGTGAAATTAGCAACACTTACTTTATTTCACATGAAAACGTTTTTTCGAGATGAACTTTTATGAAATCCTTGTTTTATTTAATTTTTTTTTTATTCTTGAATTTTTTTCCCAAAACCAATAGCTTCAGAGAAAAAAATTAACACCCTAATATATCATTTTTTTTTTACTAAATTGAGTGGAAAACAGTTTTTTTTTATGAAGGTATTGATTTTGGGAATTTTTTTTTAAATAAAACAAATATTTCAAGTTACAAAATTATTGTTAGGAATTGAATGAATCACCCTATATAAGACTTAATGTGATAAACGTCAGTACGAAGTACAGAATGTCAATTGTGTAATTCTTGATATTGTTATCATTATAGTTGCATGTTCATTTTATAGTAATATATAGTTATATCCTATACGTAGTCCATCTTTACTCAGTCCCAGACTTCTAGCAACTCCAGCTGTTTCTAACAGGTTATGAGCCCAGCTACGGTTCATCTGTGGTACTGAATGAAGTGGCGTGAAGCGTAGAATAAAATGAATGGAAGCAGCTCGTTCAGAATTGAAACTCTTAATAAAGAGAACTATGACACCTGGAAGATGCAAATGGAAGCATTGCTCATTAAAAATGATGCTTGGGTGTATGTAAATAGTGAATGTCAAAAACCAGTGTTAGTAGCAAACGATGCAGAATCAAAGAGAGCGGTAGACAATTGGATCAGGAACGATAGTAAAGCAAAGTCTGACATCATCCTATCCATCAGTCCTTCGGAATTAAAGCTCGTGAAAGGCTGTACCAGTTCACGTGAAATTTGGTTGAAACTGGAAAGCATCTATGCATCGAAAGGGCCGGCAAGAAAGGCTACGTTGCTGAAACAACTAACTCTACAACGCATGCATGAAGGGGAAGACGTGCGTGAACATATTAATAAGTTTTTCGATACCGTGGATAAGTTAGGGGAAATGGAAATAGAAATAAATCCTGATTTACTAACGATTATGTTGTTATACAGTTTACCCAGCACTTACGAAAACTTTAGATGTGCGATAGAAACCAGAGATAGCTTACCGTCACCAGAAACTCTTCGTGTGAAAATTATCGAAGAAAGTGAGGCAAGACAAAATAAAGTGAGCCCTATCCAAGATGCTTTGATTGGAAAGCACTCCCATCAAAAATCATTCAGCTCTAAAAGGCAAGATGATGAACCGGGACCTAGCAATACATATCGAAGCTCGTTTAAGTTTCGTTGCCATAAATGTCGGAGATTTGGACATAAAGCTACAGATTGTAAGACTAAGAAAAATTCTGTGAAAATGACAGAAGAAGAGGAAGAAGAAGAAGAAGAAGAAGAAGATCTGTGCGCTTTTCAAGCAGAACATAAAGAGAAAAAGACATTTAGATGGTGTTTGGATAGTGGCGCTACGTCACATCTGTGTAATAGACTAGATAAATTTACGAAAATTAATGAATTTGAAGGTGGTATTTTAAATTTTGCAAATAAAAGCTCTGCGGAAATTAGTGCAAAGGGTACTGTGTCACTTACTACGGAAGTACTCGGTAATATGAAAAAGTATTCTCTACAAGATGCGTTATATGTTCCAGAGTTACGCACTAACTTGTTATCCGTTAGTAAGATGACTAATAAAGACTGTGAAGTTATCTTTAAGAAAGACAGTGCCGTAGTTATAGGAGTCGATGGTCACATCAAATTAATTGCGGACAGAGTTGGTGATTTATATTTTATTAGAGAGACTATTTTAAATGACTCTGCATATTTTAGCAATAATGATGAACTATTTGATCTTTGGCACCGACGCCTTGGACATTTAAATGTTAAATATATGGCGGAGGCTGTAAAGAAAGGAATAATACATGGCCTCAATATACGAAATTTTAATATTGAATACCAATGTGAAATCTGTCTTCACGGAAAAATGGCAAGGAAGCCATTCCCGCAGAAATCTGAGATAAAAAGTGAAGTTTTGGATAATCAATAGGCAAAGCTAAATACTTCGTTGAATTTATTGACGATTGCAGTAAATGGTGTGAAATAAAATTTTTGAAGTCAAAAAGCGAGGTATTTCAAGCGACAAAGGACTACATCGCTATGATAGAAAGGCAGAAAGGAAAACAAGTTAAATGTTTACAGTCAGATAACGGAAAGGAGTATACTAGTAATGAATTTAATGACTTCTTAAATAAAAAGGGAATTCTCAGAAGATTAACTGTACCGTATTGTCCAGAACAAAATGGCATATCTGAAAGAAAAAATAGAACTTTATTAAATACCGCCAGATGCCTGATGATACAGTCAAATCTTCCACCAACTTTTTGGGCCGAGGCTGTTAACACGGCTAATTACATTAGAAACAGATGCCCATCTAAGAGTTTAAATGGAAAGACACCTTTCGAAGTTTGGACAGGTGAGAAGCCAGACGTTAGTTATTTTAAAGATTTTGGATGCAAAGTATACTGCCTGAATAAGGATCCCCATAGAGGAAAATTTGACTCTAGATGCAGAGAAGGAGTTTTTATTGGATATGCTAAACATTCTAAGGGTTACAGAGTGTGGGTAAAATCTGAAAGAAAAATTGAAATCTGTAGAGATTTAAAATTTGTAGAAAAATCAAAGTGTGAGATTTCAAAAGAAAATTTAGATTTTATTCTAGATGATCAAAATAAAACCCTTCTACCAAAATCACAACCAATATATATCGAAGTTGAAAACAGACTACCAGAAAATATCCAACCGTCCGACACCGATGAGAAAAATGTTGAGATAACCAATGAAAACGAGAATATACATTCAGAAAATTCTGACATTGAACAATCTGACATTGAACAATCTCCTGTAAAACATAATACTAGAGGTCGTGGAAGACCTAAAATAATAAGAACTGGTTCAAGGGGAAGGCCAAGGAAGGAATACCAATCTGCATATAATACTTCCGAAATTGAATATTGTTTTATCTCAGAAATACCTATAAAACAAGCATTATCAAGTCCAGAAAGAGAGGAATGGTTGGAAGCAATGGGAAGCGAAATAACATCGATTATTAAAAATAATACATGGAAGCTTGTAAATCGTCCTGAAAATGTAGAAACAATTGGAAGCAGGTTAATTTTAAGAAACAAGTATAAGTCGGACGGAACTCTTGACAAAAGAAAAGCACGTCTGATAGCACAAGGATTCAACCAGCAACCTGGAATACACTTTAATGAAACGTTCTCACCAGTTGCTCGTATGAGTTCCATTAGGCTTTTGACCTCCCTCACCGTACATTTTGGTATGAAAATATATCAATTTGATGTTACTACAGCTTATTTGAACGGCGAGTTAGAAGAGAAAATATTCATGGAGTGTCCCAAGTATCTTCGTGAAATTTTGGAATACTTATTGGAAAGAAGAAATTGTTCAAATAAAATATTGTTGAGAGAACAAGAAATGTTTGAAGAACTTAAATCAGGAAATAAAGTATGTCTACTGAAAAAGGCTTTATATGGACTTCGACAATCAGGTAGGAGTTGGTATAAAAAGTTAGATTCTGTTTTAAAACATTTTGGCCTAATCGCTACCAATGCTGACCCCTGTATGTTCTTTAAACGAAATGAAAGAGATTTACTTTTGGTCGGAATTTATGTTGATGATGTCATTATGGCATGCCATAAACCTGAATATGTAAAACTTTTTGAGGAATATTTGAGTTCACAATTCGAGATAAAATATTTAGGAGAAATTGGATACTGTTTAGGAATTGAATTTAGTAGAAATCGAGAAAAAATTACCATGAATCAAATAGGATATATCACTGAGGTTCTAAATCGTTTCGGAATGAGCGACTGCAACCCTATAAGTACTCCAATGGAACCAAATTTAAAACTAATGAAGGCAAAAACAGATGATTCAGAAGAAATGCAGAAATATCCCTATAGAGAATTGATGGGATGTTTAACTTATTTGGCAGTCGTCACCCGACCAGACATCAGTTTCTCAGTAAGTTTCCTAAGTCAGTATAACCATTGTTTTGGAAAAGTACATTGGGCCGCTGCGAAACGTGTTCTCCGTTATCTAAAAGGCACTATAGACCTAGGAATCACTTATAAACCTACCTATGAACCTATAAGAGGGTACGTTGATTCAGACTGGGGCAATCAACCAGAGGATAGG